TGACATAACAAACCACTCATGCAGCTCATGAAAGAGCCAGGGCTAAATTAGTTTCCCAAAAAAGAGCTCTCAAGTTTTGACCACACACAATGCTCTGTTTAAAAGCAATGCACAGTTCAAAGTTTAGGTGAGTTGGCATGCGTGCACTGTAAACATTTGGCTAAGCGCTCTTACCTGCTCCCACCACACTCCCGCCATGCTCCCGTTCATTACAATTAGTTTTGGAGTTATTGGACAGTAACTATAGCAACCACACGACTGAAGAGGCAGCTCTTCAGTGTTTCCCAAGGCAAAAACACAGCACCATATCATGCCAGAACTGTGTAAAGAAAACATGCCGTGTCATTATCTTCATTAATGGGAGCCCGTTTGACAAGAATGGACAATTTTGACTCCATGATTCACCTTATACATGAACAATAACATTCAGATTTATTTTCTGTCTAACAATGGTTGAACTATGAACAGGACGGACTTGATCAGGAGACAATTATTAGGCATGTAAGAATTGTCAAAGGTGGATATGAGGTGGTATTAACCTTTTATATGCTGTTTTCCAGAGATGTTATTTGACATAGACAAAAGGTGGAGCCCAGAATCGTTATAAGAGATAGAGGACCAATAACAAAAATACATATATCAAAAAGATGTTAGGAGAATTTAAGGAATTGTTTGTGGGAGACCAGGCGCTGTATAAAAAGTGTACGCATACTGATGTATAGTATATTATTTATTATCTAAGAGTTGTAGCTTGTTTGGTGTTTAATTATCTTGTTCCAGTGCCCTGTCCTTTAATGTGTGCATTGATGAAACAAATTTCTCCACTGTGGGACAACGAAAGGTAAAGGTTTCTTAGGCCAGCTTCAAATAGACAAGGTCTGAGTAGGGGTCAAACTAGAAAAATAATGTTATTACGAGTTGGACGTCTCAAAGCGGGACTAAAGCTGAGCGGCCTCATTCTAGTCCGTCATATCTCACCATTTTGTCACAAACATCCGTCAGGCACCGTTTGGACGGACTCCTTGCAAAGCAATTAGCAAAACCAACCTCCATCCTGCACAGCGTTTAGATGGCAATGAAAAACAATGCCGTTCTAGCGCCAAGCCAGTAGTGGACAGTGGAACTTAACAACACAACAAACGCGACCCCCAGCCGTATAATCACATCCTCAAATCCTCCTCTGGCTGCCGCAAAGACGTGAAAGAACCTTCATCATTCTGCACTTAACAGTAACTGCAAAAATATAAACTGAAACTAAAGCTTTACGTGGTTTCTCCGTGTAGCGTTCGAAGCTCACCTCTACTCCACATGTCCAAATGTATGTGCAGGAAGTGAGGTCATCCCTGGCAGACAATTCAAACATTTATCCTCTCACAGCTGTGAAACAGCCCCCATCACAGTGTGTCTGTTCTGTTTCACTCTGGAGGCTCTTTCTTAATGCGTGCGTTTTCACCTCCCTGGAATACTGTCTCAATGTAAACAAAAGGCCAAACCGATACCCAACTCTATACTGTTTTACTGTAGGGTCTCAGAGTAACTCACTTTAATCATCGAAGTTTACGTAAAAAAATAATTGTAATGATTTTGATCACTTATGTCCATCTGCAATGTGCTCAAGCTCAACCCAAACCAGTATCAATGCAGCGAGCTACCATGGCAACCAAAGAGAAAGACACAGCTGCCACAGAAGTATAGACAGCATTTTTGGACTAAATTAAAAGGGATGGATAATTGTTTAAAAAGGTGAAACTGATAAGAGGTTTTTCTAGACTTGAAAACCTTCACAGCACAATGCACGCACAGGTCATCATTGTGTCCTCGTTAACACTTCTCAAATCACTAATGGAATGATGTAATACTCTTGACGCTTAATCATATGGCACTCTAGACAAAGACATGCAGTAAATATAGAGTTGGGAAACACACACAGACTATAAATCTTCGGGACTCGGCATAAAAAGCCAACAGTTACCATGGAAATCTGCATGTTTGCTGCACATTCTTGTCCGTAAGAATACATGAGCAAAAACAATGCTAAAGGTTGAGCAGAAAGGCCCTGGTTAGGTCACTACTGGGGAGTACCTTTTCACCTCTGAATCTTTTTAACATTTTGAATCGCTTTTGGTTTGCTGTGATACTTTTTTCATTTCCAAAAGGCTCCGCTCTATAATTTCTCATCTCCATCGACACGTAAGAGCTTTGTTTTCATGTTATGGTATGACCTTTTTTGTTTATTCATTCAAGTGTTTTATTGTTTAATGCTATTACAGCTGCAGTATTTTAGTGTTCAGTCACAATATAGACTTTGATCTTCGCTACTTGTGGAGTTACCAATTTGTCATGTATATTTTTGACATTTTGTAGAGCATAAGGCAACAAATAAACTTAAGAATAAAATATATTTAAAAGCAAAATATTGTATTTGAGCCGTAGAAATGTGAAAAATACCATATGTTTAATGCCATACTGTTAAAATATCTTAATGGACACAAGCTCAGGGTCAACCGTCCATCAAAAATTACTGTGTATGTAGTTTAATCTCTAGCGAACCTTTAAACAACACTAAAGATGATGTTTAGATCTATCCCACTAAGGGAGGGATGTGGATGTGCTCATAATTTCTGCTGTAATATTGATATTCTAGGCAGGAATCAGGATGGACTTTTGACAGTATTGATGAATCCTAGTAGTACAGCAAGAAAAACGGAAAACAAATCCATCTGTATCCCGTTACATCAAAACAAAGACACAAATCATGTTCAACTAATTCAATGCTTTCCCTCACACTATGGATGCTGCGGATAATTCACTCTAATATTCATGCCACTAGATAGAGTAGTATTTCTGTACAGGTATTTCTCTATAGACAGACACGAAAAGAAGCAATACATACAGAAGCAATACATTTTCATTTTTGTGCTTACATGATATTTTAGGTCCCTTGTCCCCACCATTGAAAGTGAGCACCAGTACTTGGCCTGAAGAGAGCTCTCAAATAGATCCATGTAAAGAGGCATTGGGTCATTTCTGGATCAACTGCTGTTACTTTGGCAACCAGCCTCTCAAAGTGTAATTAATGCGAGTCGTTTTTGCCTCGTGCTCCGCTCTGTACAGCGAGAGCTCCCACAGACGCCGTATGTCCGAGAAAAAATGGCCAAATATTCTGTTTCCATGGGCAACAGAGTTAATTTTCTCCCAGAAGAAACGTTTTATTATTGAACTGTGGCTCTGGAGATTGACCTTGATGATAAGCACTCTCATAAGTAATAATCCATAAAACCCTCAATTCAATTCAATTTAACTTCAGATTTCATTACATATATTGTGACTAATTGCGTTGCCAGATCTGAAATTTTCCATTTGGACAACCCCAGCTGACAGATGTCTCTCCAACCTCTCCAAGTTCAAAAGTTTGGACAATATGACAAGTATTCAATGTGTGTTAAAATGGAACACTGTGCAACATACAGAATAACCGGTAATGGTAATTTATGCTCACAGCAAGTATAGCTATGCAAATAATCTGATCTGTAAGTAAAATAATAAATGTTTTTACTAAAATAACATGTAATTAATGTCCACTTAATACAAAACAAATGGAATCCAAATTATCAGCTATATCCCCCCCCTTTAAACTTTTATATATAACTAATATTAAGCAGATGATTTGGCATTCGCCACCTGCTGGTGCCCAGAGTCAGAACTAAACATGGGGAGGCAGCATTTCAGATTCATGCAGCTAAAATCTGGAACAGTCTTCCTGAGAATGTGAGACAGGCCTCTACTCTGGCAGTTTTCAAATCTAGCTGAAAAACAGATCTGTTTGGCTGTGCTACAACTGAATGATTTTATCTGTAATTTTTTTATGCACTGTGGCTATTTATGATTTTAATCCCATGTGTAATTTTAATGTTTCAAGGTTTTTAACTACTCGTGTGCTTTAAAAAAAAGTTTTAATACTTCTTTTGCCCCTACTGTGTGTGCTTTTATTTGTTTATGTTTGATTTATGCATGATGTGATATAGTCTGTTGTGAGTCGCTTTGTGTTGCCTTGTGAACGAAAGGCGCTCTACAAATAAAAGTCTGTATTGATGATATATTGCAGATTAATGTCCAGATAATACATAAAAATACAAATTATTCCACATTTTAATTCAGGGGCTAATACAGATATAATTCAGTCATTCAAATTAGAAAATCCCGGCCATTTACACACTCAAAGCTCAAAGTTGTGAATCAGTGCCATATTCTGTTTCATATATCACTATCACCAGTTCTTAGTCTGAACCCACATCCATTCATCCACGCTTGAGTCGGGTCGAGTGGACGTTTAAGTCGCCACAGTGTAATGTATATTTGAAGAGCAGCTAAAGGCACTTGTGTCAGAAGCAGCGCACATCAAGCCCTGTTCTAAAGGGTTTGGGGGCAGCGCAATGAAACAAAGAGAAAAGATTGAACTAGGAAGAGCTAGATGAGAGTACGTTTTCATTTTTTTTTTCATAGCATTTCCTATGTCGCTATAACGTGTTTATCAGGCCCACGTACATGATGTATAAAGCAGAGACGCTGTAGTTTTTCTGCCAATGCTACAGCTTCGTTCCATCTGCAACAGTCAACGTAATAATTATGATTTTAATGGCTTGTATGATTGTTTTATACCTGGTTTTCTCAATCTCTTTGAGTTATCTTCAAATCAAATCCAGATAAACATTAATTTCAAAGATGTGAATAATATGTAAATTTGTTTGGAGATGTGGTAATTCAACACACATTTAACTCTGCGATGTTGATTTTATTTTCGAGTTCTAGTCATTGTTCTGGTTAGGACTGCTCCGTTATTATCAATCATAAACAGAACCTTATTGGAAATCTAGACCAAAAATCACAAGTCTAGAAAGTATCTTGCTTATAATATGGCAACAAACATCTTCTCAAGTTCACAACACCTATACAATGGTCAGAGAATTCTTCACAGTAATAACTAAAGTATTTTTTTCAAGGTTGCAGATTAAGCAGTCCACCAAACCACAGCGGTTCTCCCAGCAGCTGGAGAGGGCCGTCACCAGCGTCTTCAAACCAGTGGCCAACCATAACTTCAACGTAAGCCACACCGGGTTCATGTCATGATATTGTATGCACGACGGCGAGATTAGATAATAACGTTCTGGATGAAATGTCAAAAATTTGTCTTAAAAATGAGTCAAGGACCATCTGCACTCCACAGTTGTCACTACCTCCGCTTTAAAGGATCATAAGCCTTTTAATCCTCTGGTTAAACATTTATTATGTAACTTTTATCTTCCAATTCATAGTAATGTGATGTCTTTGGCTGGAACATGCCATTGTATTGCATGGATCTTGACCATATTTTCTTTTTTTAGCAGCAAAACAAGTGTTAGAAAAGACAAGTGCAATATATTATGGTCAGACTAATTGTGACATTGCTCTATAAATTCTATATCTTTCTATGTATAAAGTCAAAGAAAGAAAAGGCAAAAAAGCTAACCAAAAACGGTTACGCTTTATAGTGTGAAATCGTGTTGTAAAACCTCCCTCCGTGGTCTGACCTTGCGGACATCACACAGCTTTGATCAGCGGAGCGAGGAGTTTCAATCTCACAAAGAAAACTAAACGAGCAAAATAAAAGTCCTTTTCTTTCTCATCTAGGATCCCACTTCAAAGCCTGTCATTTTTCATAACGACTGGTTTGGTTTTTTGCATTTAGAGTAAGAACAAGCCTCCTAAATGTACGCAACTGTTATTTTTATTTTAACCATTTGCATTGTTCCTTTGTCAAAAACAGACTAGAGTTTTTTGTAGCTCTATCCATGCTATCAACAAACGACAACCCTTCTGCCTTTCTATACCTTTTTGACATTTTTATACACAATATGTAAAAAATCTGGCCAAAGGTGCTTCTGCAATCACGGTCAATATTCTGTAGTCCTCTCCCACTCTCCCTGACTCAGGTTGCCAGATATGCAGATGAATCCAGCTGGGACCATAACAGCTGAATAGACAAGAGTTTTGTCAACACCAAATCTATAACCAACACCTTTTTCATAAAGATAGAAATTCTGTTTTTTCCCCCTGTTTTGTCATTAATGATTTGAGAATCACGAGACCTTTGTTAGTTCTGCAGCCACATGGTACTTCACCAGTGAGAATAGCTCGACGCAGTGAGTTCTGGCAACACGGATCACAGACGTTCTGATTGGTGAAACGGTGGAGGGCGGGACATTGAAATGAAAACATTAACAAGATTTAGGGGCTGTAAAACTAATTTTGAAATTCCTTTATCCCTGAACTACTGTGATCAGTTAAAGTATTCAAAAAGAGCATGTTTTATTCACGCCTTTTGACAGATTAGGGCCCTTTAATGATGACTCGACATGAAAATCTTGCAAGAAGCTACTTTAAAAGGACAGTAGGTAATCGTTTTACTTTAAGATACATCTACGTACAAGTCCCCAGAGGTTCATACGCACATGTTCTGAACAAAAGTTTGAAGTGGAGTGATGTCATGTGGTTTTCATCCCTTTCATTATTTCTGGATTGGGAGGATGGCAATCACAGCTGCCTCCCAAATCACCCCGCACCGGCCCCTCGCTGATCCTCTTGCAGGTGGTGGGTCCACAGGAAGATGGCTGCTGCCGAAGTGCAGTGATTATTATTTAAAATAGAATGTGTATAATGTACATGATATTTAGGTTAGCAGTTTTCAAGCAGATCATCCCATCAGAGAGCAGAATGAGGCTCTCATTTGTGTTGACAGTTTACTGTATCAATAGTTTGTTCAGGTTGAAGAGACTTTAAAAAAATAATGCAGAATATATTGTAGTTATGATCTTGCAAATGACATGAACATTACAACAACCCTGTAGCCCTGAGAGTAAACTGGACCAACACTCCTCTAAGGTACTGAGAATATACCATAACAATATAAATGTATGACTTCGAGGCTTATGACTTTCCAAATAATGTTAACTTATTTTGCACATTTTCTTCACAAACTTTCTTTTTGGTGTAAAAATGTGAAAATCTTCTCGATGGTGAATGGGCAGAGTTATGTTTGGAGCCAGAGTGGAATGTGGAAAGTGGCAGATAACCATCTCCAGTGTTCGGGCTCCGGCTGCAGCATTCTCCTGTTAATAATGGAAATGCTGGGTATCGCTCTATACCTGTGCTACTAAAATATTCATATCACAACAATCCAATATTTATCGGTACATACACATTGAAAGGGAAAAAGATGTGTAGAGATGTCCTGTGGTTCTTGAATGTTTTTATCTGACTTTGGTAAAGGGACAGGCTACATATTGGTAAAACAAAATAGTTACTCGGTCTAAAGAAAAATCTAACAAAACAATAAAACTAAAGGTTTGTTTTTTATTTTATTTGTGTTGTTATTACTACACTAAATCATGCATTGTAGAAAGAGTCAAAGATCTGAAATTCCCATTTTCCTTTTTTTTCATGGACTCATTTGTATTTGATACTTAAACTTTATCAATCAGGTGGCTGGATGGATAATATGGTCAAATCTTTAAGGTTTTTATGAATATGAACTAGTCAGAGGCACTGGGAACACCTGCACTCGCAAACATAAAAATGTAAAACTTGATTATATTACATCACTTATACTACTTATTTGTTTCAAATCCACGTTACACAATATTAGAGTATGACGCATGGTAAATCAGATGTTCTAGACCAGGGCTGTCGAACCGGTTCCAGAACAGGCCTATTTTAAGGTGGTCTGGTCAGGTTTGGAACTAAAAATCCCTTTTGAGGACCAGTTGGACTCCACTCTTGTAGACCAATCTATCAACTTTAAATCATAAACTCAATACTTAAAGTATCTACATAAAAACATATTTAAAAAATGGGACGCATGATGCACAGGGAAGGTCCTGAGTTTGATTCCACCTCCAGACACAGAGGCTTTATGTTTGAAGTCTGTAGGTTCTCCTCTAAAAATATGTACAATAGTTTAGGGTGAATGAATGGATGTGTGCGTTTGTGAGTGACTGTGAGACTACAGATGAAAATCAGCTCAAAGATTTAGTGTATTTACAGTTGTACATAAATAAGCTAATGACAAACTTAAAGTAAATATTTGTGGATGAACAGAATTAAACTTGATGATGGTGTTGTTTCTGCCTCTAAACTGTGAAAATGTGATGTTATGTCTTTAGTTGGAGTATGAGAAGAAGAAGAAGTCAGAGGGTAAGATGGTGCGTGCGGAGCGGCAGGTGGTGCTGGACATGCTTTTCTCTGCCTTTGAGAAACATCAGTTCTACAACATCAAGGACCTGGTGGAGATCACAAAGCAGCCGGTGGTGAGATCACAGCAAAATACGCACTTTTCAAACTGGATCTACACAGACAAGGGCTTTCTCAAATCCTAAATATTACGTGTGTGAGAGTAAGTAGCATTTCAAAGTAGGATTTCTCCAAGAGTTTCTGACACGGTATAGACTCATTCTATACCGCAATCTGAGCGGTTTGCCTTCTGCTCCCGAAGCTAAGACCAAGTTGTGCAAAACAACACTGCTATACCATCTGTTCTTTTCCGTACTTTGTAGACAACTTTAATATGGTCTTACGCCTGGACACTGTCAGGTTTTAGATTTTAACTCCATCAAGTCATCCTCTCATACATGTTTTCTTTTTCTTGAGTAAAACATAACTTCAATAGAAATTATTTCATATGAAGCAATCATTTCTTTATCCTATTCTTTATCCTCTCACACATTCAGAATATTATTGAAGAGAACATATAGTAACGCCCTTCTAATAGAAAAAATGTAGACAAATATAAATGCTTGAATGAAGAAGGCCTCATTTGCTTACCCTCTTTAGTATTTGCAAAGATCTTAAATAATGGCAGTGGTTACACATTATGAAAATATGAATTTGATTGTGCTGACACTGTACCGTATGATTAAATCACAATCTGAATCTATGCATTTGTCGTTCAATTCTACCCACTTACCTCTCCATCATGTACATATCAATCTAATAACAATCCTGCCTTTTGGTCTGTCCCCCTTCTATCTAACCCTCCTTCTCTTCACCATCCATCCATCCTTCCATCCCTCCCCCCTCTCGGTATCAGTCAGTGATGGTCCTCGGTGCCTTGGCTCGCTGCTTGCTGGATGTGTGTAGGAGCCGTGCGGAGCTGCGGGCGGCTGATTGCGAGCGATTGCGTAACCTACTGCCGTCAGAGTAGGAGTCAAGCGCTGTTTCCCTCCAGCACTTTGGCCGAACACTCAAACTTACAGACGTGACCATTACGCACAATACGGCCCACTTCCCCACGACTGAAGCTGTCACAACAGTGCCATCTGCTGGACGAGGTGTAGTGGTGACATGGAGAGAGCTCAGGCTACAGCTGTTTCACTTCTCTGTGTATGCTTTGGTATTGTGTTGTACACAGATATGGCAAAAAGTACACGTCTTAGGTTCTGAAGGAAAAGTATAGATACTTGTATTCATTTCAACAAGTAAAAAAACCTAATACCAGTTTGTTATATCGCCATCTGAAATAGATATGTGGGTTTAAAAGTAGCCAGTGCCATATCTTATTGTACATTATGAAGACAATAGAAAGTATAAAAAACGGTCAAATTTTTTTTAAAACCTAACCTTATTGTAAAGCGCTTTGTGACAGTATATAAATGAAGATTAGTTATTTGTTTTTAGTGATGTTGATTGGTGATGTGGTGTCTTCAGCAGCACCTTTTCTCTTCTGTACTTCCCAAAGTGATGTATGGGAGGGGCTCAATGACGCAAATACTGTATTTATTATAAACATGAATAAAACAGGGCATCAGATTCCAGACAAAATACTAAAATGGTTTTAACAGTCAACGTTTTAGAGAGAATGTACTGTAGAAGTAAAAGCTGAGGTCACTCTTGGCATCTTACAGAAATCTGAATATATGAATATCTATGGATGAATTGGTGACCAGGCACGTGTCCTGGAATCATACTTTTCAATGTCGCCTTATTTGGATTTTAGAATAATCCAGACTCCAAACGTGTAGTTTTCTGGCAGTTTCAGCTTTTTGCAAAGATCTGAGTTGGAATCTGACTTGTGGTTTGTTCGCAGACTTACCTGAAGGAAATCATGCGCGAGATCGGGACGTACAACAGTAAAGGAGCTCATAAAAGCACCTGGGAACTGAAGTCTGAGTACCGCCACTACCAGTCCGCAGACGAAGAGGCCCAGACCTGAACACGCCGCCCACAGATTTTTCCCAACACAAGGGGTGTACTTAAGGCTTTTTGTTGCTTATGTAAAAATAAAAAGGAATTTCATTTTCTTACTGCATTTAGACTTCCTGTCTATTACTTCAGGACAATTGCCAAAATAGATTAAAAGGAGTGCACCTTTAATTATTTTGGCAGTAGTTGGCATCTGACTCAACACACGGGTGTGACAATTACAGTATGCAATGACTCAACTAATCTGGTTAAGGATTGGAACCTGAATCTGATGTCAATTCTGAACCACAGAAGAATGAGGTTCAAACTTTGCTAAATATATTCACTGCATTGAGTCAAACCATGATACCAGACAAGGTTCGTTCAAAGCCCTTAAAACTAGATTGTGGGATTGAAACAACTAGCTGTAGTCTTTCAACAAGAACCTAAGTGGTAAAGTCACATGCAGATTAGCTTCTAAATTTCCCTTTGAGCGGTGAATACTGATCTAAACCTCAGACTCCCAAGCAGAAGTGAAGGCAGTGACGTTGAACAAAACCTAAATATCTGCACTGGCAGGTGGTCGTTCAAGGTTGACTTAGTTCAGCCTCATGATTGCGATCCACATCCAGGTTTGGTTAATTCATGTCTGAAATCAGTCCATCGCAAATACATATTCCCATTTTGTCAGTCACAATTTACAGGGGGAAAAAAAAAATATTCGTTCAAAAGTTAAAGCAAACTTTAAAAACCTTCAAGTCTGAATTTCGCTCCAGTATGTGCTTTCACAACTAGAAAAACAATGGGCAGTTAATAAAGCTCATCACAAAAGGTGGTGGTATTAGGTTTTATTCAAAGTCTAAATTCTTTAACCCCAGGTCTGTAAAGCCTGACTCTGAACGATGCTAAAAACAGCCAAGACTGTACATCCTGTGGTTTTCAGTCACTGCACAGGTCCAAAGACCAAAGTTTACACTAAAATCCATGCGACCAGTCAGTTTTCATTCCTCAGTCCTTTACTGGAGCTTTGTGTGGCGCATTACGAGATAATTCAAGTGTCCTGTACAGCAAGACGCAAAATGGGGCTCCTGTTGTCTGCTTTTTGGTGAAGTTGGGAAAGCGGTGGCCAAATCAAGAAGATGGGTGGTTACTGCAAAGAGAAACACAATATTGAACATGGAAGCACTAGCTGACAGTTTGACATGTGAGCTTAGGGGACATAGTGTGAATACTTACACATTTCTCTGTCTCCACGCCACCTTTTATGAAGATCAAGAATGGCGTAGTTCCATCCTCGCGATAGTCGAGGATTCCCACAGCACCATCGGCGTTCATAGACTCCCCTGTGAAGTACTGAGAAAAAGAAAAGTTCAGTCATTTACCAAAGATTATTACAGTGTGTCTGGGTTGGAGTGAATGAAATGTGAAAAATCAGGGCGGACAGCACATTAATGCACCGTGAAATAAGCCACTTTACCTGAAGATTACCGTCTGCGGACACCATATCCAGCAACTTCTTTCCTGCTTTTCCGGCTTCTTTCACGAACTCGTCGACTTTAGAAGGATCTGTCTCCTGCAACTTTGCCTTCACACTGAACAAAAAAAGTTGAATAACTACATGTACAGGGAATCATGATGACACTGTCCAAATGGTCCTATTGAACCCTACGAAGACGTACCGAGTAAGTTTGAGTCATGCACAAGTAAAGTTATTAAACAAAGCGATGTATAGCAAGTCATCTCTAAAGGGGTTTTCCAGTGACATCACTTGAATCTCGTTTTTGTCAACAAAATAAATTGTTAACCAGTTTGTCCAATTGATTAGGGGATTGGGATAAGACTAAAAACTACCGAGGAAGTTTGCGTCGCCAACACTTCTGAATGTTCCAAGTCCCTCAGGCCCCAGGACACTTGGCCTGATCCCAGTACTTTTGAAAGAGCGAAAGTACACACACGAACGCAGACTACACTTTAACTGGATAGTCTCATAATTTCATGTTACATGATCTGAAAACTACTTACGCTTTAAGGTATGGCTTGAGCCACGCCTTGAAGCTCTTCTTGTTGAATCCCATGGCTTCCGAGAGCTTGTGGTTGAGGACGATGTCCACTCCCGATTCTGTGGCACTATCAGCACCCTCCGCCGCCTCCTCGGCTGATGCATTAGCACCAATAAGACTGTCATCGATGTCGCCAACCTTCCTGTTAATACACTGTAAAATGAAAAGCATTAGCAACAGCGATGTGGATCCCAGCTCGGGATCAAACCTAAATTTAAAAGATTACGTACCTTGCCTTCAACTTCATACAACCCATCATCTGTCGCTTTGATATTGTAGATGTCCGAGAACAACTCATCACCTAGAGAAAGGAGTACTTTTCATTATCCAACAACAGATTGAGGAGGAGAGACTTCCGACTACAGATATGGCAAGGGCCACGTTTCCGTAAATAGCAAAGTGTAGCCAATAGCTTCCATTGCCACACAACAATCACTCCAATAGCATCAATCACTCCAAACATTTACCAGGTCACAAGATTCTGAACGTCAACACAACAAACTTAATGAACAGATTTGGTCTACAATCGTAACGCAACAAGGGCTGATTAGCATTAGCATTGATGCTAACATGGCGGCTTCATTGTACCAGCTGGAAACACGCGGCCTGATTTACGACACTTCAATGTAACAGAAACGGCTTTTTAGTCACAAGTTAAAGCCTCAGTATGAGCCCAGACGGAAGCAACAGCCCGACGCTCTTACCGGAGATTATACACTTGTAGATGATCATGTTGGAGCCGGTGTTAGTCCCTCACAGTAAAGGCCTGTGTCGCTGCTGCTGAAGCGGAGGAAAAAGAGCGACTCATGCTCCGCGCAGCTCTATAGCGTCCTCAGGTGACGTCATCAGGTGACGTCATTTGGGCGGGGCCGTGAATCACAAGTGTAGCAACATCTATGGTACACAAACACTGGCTTCATCTCCACTCTTACTGACAAACACTTTTTTTAGCAATAGTTAACTCCATCACGTTTAAAGATTTCGCTTAATTTTATTTTATTTTTTAATACTTTGTCTGCGATGTTAAAATGGATCTAGGATGTTACCTAGCAACCAACTAACAGTAATACACTTGGTCAACACTTCTGACAGAAAATATAGTTATGATATATTAGGTACATAAGTCAAACCCTAACCCATTAATAACGTTGGCACATTGATGCAACTTTTGTATTATCCTTTTTATGGCTCCCTCTGCTGTTTTTTGATATAACCCATAAGATGCTTTGACTAAAACCAGATTAGGTCATAGAACAATCATTGCCACATAAACAGCACAGGTCTCACTCTGAAGCTTTACATTCAGAGGACTAGGTTATGTTCAATTTAAAACCCAGTCAAAATAAGATCTAGAAGACATCTCGCTTTCCAAGTGGTGTTGCAAAGTAAATAAAACCCCAAACATAACTCACTGTAATAACTGAGAAAGCACAAAACATATTTGAAAAGCAACTTTATTGTCATATTTTGGTACATAACGCACCATTTCAATTACTATCATAATCTCAATTCACAATTGGTCATCAATATTTAGAAAACCAACACCTGATTAAGTAACAGTAATCTTTGCATCACCAGAACGAAGTGACCAAACAACAAAGTCTTTATAAATCCAATTAAATCTGATTACAGATAGATTTATGGGCACATTGTGATCAGTAGGTGCTTTTTAAAAAGGACAACCCTCACTTAACCAACTAAGATTAAGACTTGTAGACAGCAACGGGAGGGAAAGCGGCAACATTCAAACTCAAGATGTGCTCAAAAAAGACAAAAATACAGACGATAAAAAGTAGTTAATGTACAACTATACAAACAAAGTCAAACATACCGACAATGACAAAAGATGCAACAAAAATAATTTCCAATGTCATACCCCTTTTCTTCACTCCCCCACTTTTAGCAGAACCCTTAAGAACTTTTGTTTTTGTGTTAAAAATACTAGGTTTTGTCCTGAACTAAAGTTGCTGATGTGTATTTTCAGAGGGATACTCCATGTTTGGTGCGTCTGGAGAGGCTAGAGCTGCCCGCAGTTAGTGATGACAAGTTTCTTTGCCGGGACTCCTCCCTTTGTGCCGACTTCCCCCATGGCCTGCACCACGCTCATGCCGTCGCGGACCCAGCCGAAAGCCACATGTTTGAAGTCCAGGTGCTCGGCCTTCTTCAGCGTGATGAAGAACTGCGAGTTGTTGGTGTCGCGGCCGCGGTTTGCCATGGACAGGATGCCGGGGCCGGTGTGTCTCACGTCAAAGTTCTCGTCCTCGAACTTCTCGCCGTAGATGGACTTTCCGCCAGTGCCGTCGCTTTTGGTTATGTCGCCGCCCTGAAAACCAAAAAAATGTTTTATAATATTGTGGAAATATTCACATCCTCAGTTTTGTAGTTTAGGCTTGAAACTAATGATTGATCTATTCATTTAAGAATTTGATCTAAATTTTGGCTCGGAAAAAGCTGCGTTAAAAAAAAGAAAACCATTGGAAAAATGCTCTTGATGAGTGTGTTTTGAAGATATGCCAATCATCCTGTTGGGTTGAAAATCTATTTTCTCATTCCAAATGTGACATTTTATCTTTTTCATAGTTTATAAACGGTCACAAGATGCACAAGTCAGGTCTGAAACAACATATCATTAAAAAAAAAATCTCTCTTTATATAGCTACAATTTTTACAGTGGATATTATTTCTACTAGAAAAATTATGTACTATGGGTTAGAACACTAGAATCATTTTCTGAAAGACGTAGGTGTGTGTAAGAAGTTTTCCTTTCAAGAATTTTTCATTCATTTCATTTATTTCATTTTCAACCCCTTTGTCCATTTCTGGGCCGGGGGGGTGGCAATGAGAGCTGCCACCCAATGCCACCCAATGTAGATCAGTCTCACTGATCTTCTGCAGGTGGTGAGTCCACAGGAAGATGGCTGCTCCATCAATTGTGAAACAGCCTTGATCTTTCAGTGGGGGGCTTCAGGCAATGTGGGGTTAAGTGTCTTGCCCAAGGACACAACGACAGCAGTCATCAGTGGGAGCAGTTGGAGTAAGTAAGTAAGTAAGTAATCTTTTATTTATATACCGCCTTTTCACTGCACATCGGAGTCTCAAAGCGGTTTACAATTGTTATTTTTGGGAGTGGGGGGGCCAGTACAGGAGGCACATGCCAGACCTATTGTACATATTTTTAGTGGTAGGGGAAACCGGAGCACCCGGAGGAAACCTACGCAGACACGGGGAGAACATGCAAACTCCACTCAGAAAGGCCCTGGTCCAACCGGGATTTGAACCCAGGACCTTCTTGCTGAGAGGCGAGAGTGCTATCCACTCAGCCACCGTGCCGCCGAGTAGGTCCCATGGTGGGAATCGAACTCACGACCTCCAAGCCCAAAGGCCAATGCTCTACCAACTGAGCTACTGTCGCCCCTCTTTCAAGAATGTATTTTGAAAAATTGTAATTTTAAGAAAGGTTATATAGATTTGTTATTTTATGCATACCTTACTCTATTTTCACCACCTTATATGCACAAAGAGAGTTTCCTAGTGTATGACTTGTTACTCACAATGTCAATAACAAAATTCTGATTAACTGTAGATCAGGGATGCTCACTTTTTCAGCATGCGAGCTACTTATAAAATGATCAAGTCAAAACGATCTACCTACTAAAAAAATGCAAAACATATATTTATTTCTAAATATATTGAGGATTCTTTATATCTACAATAAATGTTGATGTATGCAAACCACATGATTTATGAAATAATTTGCATTTAAGCATCGCCTCTGGCGGTCATCCAGGATTCATAGAACCGTAGTTACTTTCGTTCTGTAGCGGCACTTACAGTCATAGTAGAAACTCAGGGTGAAGACATATGTTTACAAGCATTGACCCCAGTCCTCAGCCCTGGTTTGATCCTGGTTTAGCTCCTGTTTTGTGCCTGATCACTTTGCGGCTCTCTGATGTGGAGCGAGGATCGCAGCTGTGAACCGCTCGCAGCAGCGGACACTTTTTAAGGCAGTAAGATCCTTCTTCAGTGATCAGAGGTCGCTCGTTTGGGGGCAAACTGTGGCGTGCGAAAACGCAAAACTCAGGTTATCTCTGTCCACAAGCAAATGCAAAAACGATGTTTTAATTTTTTTATGTAAAGCGATCTTCCAATACTACCTTTGGGATCGACTGGTAGATTGTGATCGACATATTGAGCACCCCTGCTGTAGATACATTTCCAAAAGCATGCAGTAGCCCCGGTTCCACACACACCTGACACATGAAGTCTGGGATGACTCTGTGGAAGATGGATCCCTTGAGTCCAAAGCCCTTCTCTCCGGTGCACAGGGCCCTGAAGTTGTCTGCGGTTTTGGGCACGATGTGAGAGAACAGCTCGATGGTGACGGTGCCCAGACTCTGCCCGTCGGCCTCCACCGTGAGGAACACCTGGGGGTTCGAGTCCCGAGAATGCTCCTGGACGCGGGACATCTGCGGAGAGGTCACGCCGCCCTCCGCTTCGTCTCCGATTCGGCTCTGGCACTCACGGAACGTCTTCCTGAACGACTCCATGATCTCTGGCGTTTTGAACTTGGCGGCGAGCTGCTCCACGACGCCGTCTCCCTCTGAAGGATTAGGAAAGAGTCATCTCCAATATACTGTTGGACTTCATTCTTGCTTCATTATACATTTTGTAGTATTTTAACTTCATGTACTTTTTACTTGTGATGCAAGACGCCCTTGAATATCTAGAAAGGCGCCTGAGAAATTTGGAGATTATAGATTTGCTTCCTTATTATGCTAAAGCTAGAGATTTTATTTCATTTTATTTAGTATAAAGTTCTTGTGTGCTCCTCATTCCTACTGTTCTGAAACCGGGGATGCAACACTGACAATAAAGAATCTCCAAATGTGAATCTCTTGTTATGAACCAACCCTGGCCACAGTAACACATAATGATGGACAATATATTACAGACGAGTGTGATGAACAATAATATGGTAAAATGATTTGTAATTTAAAAATAAAAAGCAGGAGAATCCCAGAGAACCAATTGGAATTAGCCAAAAAACATAAAAGCTACTTGTATATTTTGTATGCTCTTTGTGTGCTCTTACTACTGTCCTGTATGTGCACTGCAACATTGACAATTCACGTGGTACGTATAAAGGTTATCTTAATTTGTCTTTAATGTTAAGTTTTTACCATTAAACTCCAGAACTGACCAATAGTTGTTGCAGTATCATACATTATTCAACTCAGAATGTTGTGCAACAGCGAAAATAGCACATTTCTTAATCATAAAGAACATTACAGACAACGAGATAGATTGTCCCATGAATTAGTTCCTGAGTCAGAGATTACGACAGATGGGGCTCGTACCGGAGTAGTCGGTGGCGATCCAGACGAGGGCGTTGGGCGACACGTTCATGGGCTTGAGCTCCATGGTCTTGGTGATGGTGTGGTTGGCGCAGACCTTCAGGATCTGGTCTCGTCTCATCAGGACTCTGTAGAAGTGCTTGACGGGGTGGAACAGGATCTTGATGTCGCCGACGCCGCGCTCCTTCCACTGGCCCAGGTCTCGGTCCCAGCGGTAAAGCTTGGTGCGCTCCTTAAACAGGATCTCCTCGTCCTCCTCCCCGGACTTTGTCTCCACCTGAGACACGCAAATGTTCATTAAAAGATAAGAAATGATAGACTTTATTGATCTCACACTGGAGAAATGTACATGTCACATCTGGCCTGGATAGAAACACTCAAGGTAGGGCAAAAGACAGAAATGTGCAAACATGTTAAATGCAGCATATATTATGTACGATAAAAAGTGGCCATTAAAGAAACAGTGGCAATAGTAGTGCAGGCGTTTTAGTCCTTGTGCAAGTGACTTAAAGTGACTTGTTGTACAGTCTGACAGAGGTGGGGGTAAAGGCCCTGCTGTAACGCTCCTTCTTCCACTGAAGGAGCTCCTCAGGGGAATTTGTGAGCTTTTCTACAGTAGTTGTTCCAAACCTTTGTTGCACTGGATAATCACAGACTTTCACACAGACAGGATTCTCCCATACCCCTCGAGGCCAAAACCTTTTTAAACTTTACTGTTTTGTTTTTTTCCAACAAATTTGTACATATTGTGACAGAACCAAAACTAGTAAACAAATAGGGAACCCTAAATATTATTATTTCTTGACTTTTGGGTTCAATGCTACGATTGTATACTTTAGAAAAAGAATAATTGAAATAGTGATATATTTTCAAGCACCCTCTGTATTCCCTTTAATTACCGCCCGGTGAGAAACTTTGGTCAACATTTATTGTATAGGATGATCCAAAGTATGGCAGTAAAATATGCTCAATATTGCTCAACTCAATCGACTTTACTGGATAGAGACACCTCCATTGACAAGTTGCATACATTAAAATTCCTTGAAATTGAAGTTGAAAAAGAAAAACACCCCAAAAAAAAAGGTGGAGAGAATTCTTGATGCCTTGTCATTGGAAAAAAATTCTGATTAGACATTTTTAGTTTTTGAGTGAATGAGAACTTGTTTGTCCCTTGCTTGTGTTTTTTGTGCTTGTGTTCCTGTATGTCTGTTTTGATTTTCCTTAATAATAATAATAATTAAAAAAATCCTTGTAATGTATGCGAGTCAATGAAACCATTGCAAAACCCAAGTCACGTGGGATCACTTTCAAAGCTGAATTTATGGTATTTACATTTAAGCGGGGATTACCTCTGGCAGCGACACGATTGGCTCAAAGTGAATCTCCACGTTATTGGGACCCTCCTCTTCCTCATTGTCCTCATTTTCACCAGTGGTTTTGGACAGTGTTTTAGCGGCGGCACCGAAAACAGTGGCTCCTGCATTGGCCCAGCTGAAGTTTGAATCTGTGGAAGAAAACAAAATGAAACAAATGCAACAACACCTAAACACTGACGCAGACTGGGACTTACCCGTTGTACCAAACGCAAAACCGTCCGTTTTTTGGGCCAAATCTGCAAATGAAAAGCCCCCTGATGTGCTGAAGCCAAATAAAGAGTCTTCACCTGGAATTCCATAGTGCAATTTTGTCAGATAAAAACAATAATAAATTATAAAAAAGCAGCAAAAACGGGTCGATCTGTGCTAACTGTGCTTTGTGAGAGTTCGCTTCAAGGCCTCCGTGGATCAGTACATATTCTTTTAAGTGTTTTGACTGAAAGCCGCATCGCTACTAGGAGTGTGACAATATATTGAGATGGTGATGTATCGTGATACTTTCATCGTGAGGAACCCTGAGGTTCCCACCCCTAATCGCTACACTTGTCTCGAGTGAGGAAATTTCACTTGAAGCACATGTTGAAACCTTCCCCCACTGTCATTACATAATAACTTGTCTCAAGTCACAGTTTTTGCATTGTGTGTGGAGCAATTAGGACTTGAAAATGTTGACAAGTCCTGCATCAATGTTTAGTTGAAGAACTCCTTGACTGTTATTTTGATTAGCAGTGCCGGAGTCGTCCTGTTTCTCATTTCTGCTGAAGTAGTTGACACAGACCTGGTTTGATGGAGGGAGGACCCTTTCAGTGAGCAACACATCAGACATGTTGCTATGCCAACGTATGTCTCAGTGAAAAGAAATATACTGAGAAGAATGCATTTATATCCGATGCTTCTGAAGAGGAACGTTCCCTAGATACACATGACTCGTACATACGTCAGTAGGACAAAAACCATTTAGTTATAATCAGTGTTGAGTGTAACGTGATCCGAAGTTATGCGTTTCAATGATAAACTTTTTTTTTTGAAAAATAATGTAACGCATTAACTATTGACAATGTAGTAGTTTTATTTACATCTGCAGGAGCATCAGTCACGACTCGCGCTCAGTTCTCATTTCACATGGTACTGTATGTGACACATGGTACTGTATGTGACACATGGTACTGTATGTGACACATGGTGCTGTGAAGCAAGAGGCCGCTAGCTCATGGCAGAGTGTCTGATAAAGTGCGACACAGCAGCGCAAGTGAGACTCGAGTAAATGGATCCTAAACCGATTCCCCCGAGTGAAACACAACCACCTCATGTTACTCGCTCTGTGGTGTTTTTGATCATACTAGTTATAATAAATCATACTGGTTATAATAAATGTAGTAAAACATGTTTAAGATATGTGCAGTAGAAGTAGTGACTTTCCAACTGTACAGAGGTCACATGTACAAGCTTCTGTGAACAAATGAACTTCTCATGATTTTATTGTCTGAATATTATATCGTGCAACACAGAATCACTAAGTATGTATGAACAGATCCCTGTAGCAGCCGCTGGTTCAGTCTGTACGCCCGTGTGCTGAGCATACGCAGACTGGTTTTATATACTGTTCAGAAAATAATGACCTCTTTCATTATGTGTTGTGTTACATGCTCAATATTGGATTAGTGTTTCTATCATTTTGTCCCTTACTAAAGACCTCAAGGTAATGTCTCTGGCGTGTGAATAGATCCACATTTGCTTGCATAACGCCCACACACATACACTAAAGCCTAAAACAAATGCCCTTCTGAGCTGAAAACTTTATTTGTAAAAAAGCAGAGGTCCGGGGCTCATGGACCTCATAGTGGCATACCCTCAGTGGCTGCTGTGTCCTTTTCGCCCTCTGGCTCTGGGCTCTTCTTGGTAGACAGGTCAATAGGAGCGCTGCTGCTGCTGCTGCTGCTGCTGCTGCTGCTGCTGCTGCTGATGGGTAGAGGTGGATTACTCTGAGATTCTTCAGACTGTGCCGTGGTCAGGGCATCAGAGAGCGGGGGCGCTGTGGAGGCCTCCGGGGGCGCTGTGGAGGCCTGCGGGGGCGCTGTGGAGACCTCCGGGGGCGCTGTGGAGGCCTGCGGGGGCGCTGTGGAGGCCTGCGGGGGCGCTGTGGAGGCCTGCGGGGGCGCTGTGGAGGCCTCCGGGGGCACTGTGGAGGCCTCCGGGGGCGCTATGGAGGCTTCCATACTGACTGGCGCCTCCTCTTCAGAGACTTGAGGAGGTTCACTTGAAGTTTTGCCTTCCTTCGTAGCACCTTGTAACTGCGCATTCTGAAATGAAATGTTAAAGCGTGAATTTAACAGTACGTTAAAAACAGCCGCATAATACCAGAAAAAGGCAATCATATAAAGAGCTGAGAATCTAAAAGAGAAGAAAACTTTCAGCAACTTAAGTGTTTGATCCTTCATGCCACGGAAAGAAATAGCATTCTACATAATATAGATGAAGACCACAACAGACTTATTTGTTAATTTGCCTTTTGCAGTAAAACCACATTGGAAAAATTGTTCAAGACTACCCCCAGTGTGAACGACTATGAAGGTAAAGGCAGTGAAATACGATGGAATACATTGAACTTTTACTGCATGACAAAAAAGAATCAGGGATAATCGATTAGCTCGTTCTGTGACGTACCAGGTCTTGCTGAGCTTTGCGGACCTCAGTCTCAAAGTCCTCCGCCTTGTCGTGGTCCGTGTCGCTGTCGGGGCCGATTCCACAGAAGAAGTGGGGGGGCAGCTGCAGACTGAGCGCTCGCTGCTCCTCCTCAGGGGTCGGCTTCTTCTCCCACACAACCACACAGTCCGTGTCTGAGGGAAATAAACGGCATTTGAACACAACCCAACCACCTCTTTACAGACTGTGGCACACGGACATGAGGCGAGATCTTGATTATTCGCCATTTGAAGAGTATGTGAAGGAGATGTTGCATAGGTATTTTCTTCCTGCTGCTGTCAGACTGTACAATGAGAAGTGCTGAGCCTGTATATGTCATTCATCTGTAAATAGTCAATACTGTAAACATGTACAATACTGCCGTTTCAGAATGTCCACTGAATGTAACTTATACTGCCCTATATTTATATAACTGCACTATATACAGATAAAAACATGTCAAAACAGTGATATTGAAGCATTTACAGCTAGCCAAGACCCATAGCAGCTACTTATATTGTGTATATTTTATGTGCTCCCTGTGTCTCTTATTACTGGCCTGTATGTGCGCTGCAACTCTGACATTTCTGCAACGTGGGACAAATAACTTATCTTATATTTTTGCAAAAAGTAAATAAGCCCAAAGACACACACACAAAAAAAGACACTGCCGCAATAAATGTGTTAAAGACATACCATCTTCAGCCGCCGCCGCCTGTTTCTGTGGAGGATCCTGGTAGAGTTTTCCATTTAAAGCCTTCACCGCAGATTCAAAGGTCTCTTCTGAAAACACACATTTTACCTCTATTGTCATAGTCAAGACAAAGCCATGACATGATGTGAGAACCGTCTTTGTTTATGGCCTGGGTTTACATGGAAACAAATGAAAACCGTAATCCAAACACGAGACACCACAACACTACAAATTCCATACAACATGAGTAAAGGCATAAAAGTAGATAAGATATTGAAGTTTTAAAATCACAGCTTCACAAAAAGCCTAATGCAAACTCACCATCCTCTGACTCATCGCTGATGTAGCCCGGGTCGTTTTTGTAGCAGAAGAAAGTGAGTGGGAGCTGGAGTTTCTTGGCCAAAGCCGCCTGTTCAGCAGTCGGCTCTCTGACAAACAGAATCTCAACATCCGAGTCCTCCGTTGAACTTGCACTGCCTCCTTCTGCCACTGGAGGCGCTACAACCAGATATACAAGACGGTTCAGACAGAAGCTGAGAAAACTGTGCAAGGGTTAAATGTTGCACTCAAAACTCAAAGCAAACAAATTCAGTACAGGTCGACAACACACTGATAGACATCCTGTGGGTCTGATTTACTGATCTGTGGAATTTAACTGGACAGTTAAGGCCAGTTCATACTTCATAAGACACGAGAAGCTTAAAAATTACATTTGACATTTCTAGCCTGTATTTGCAGCATCTAGTTACAAAAGTAAGATTTTATTGTGAAGTAAAAATAACAAAACATTTTCAGATAAAAAATAAAACTCATTACAATAGTAGTGTGTGATGTATAATTAATGTAAGTGCACTACAAGTGTTCTTTGTTTTCATGCAATTTACAATGAATTTTATTGATAAAAATGATCATTATTTATACAATTTGGACAAAATGGATCTTTCTGTGTCCTGAGAAAGTATTTGAAACATGCTTCAAAGTTTTGGACTATCGTTTGACAAACCGTTTTGGTACATAGCGAAAATGAAGGACAAGGAACCGCTAAGACCCTTTTGGTTATGACTGGTTAAGCCGTGGAAAAAAGGCTGCTGTTAGACAGCTTTGACAGCACAAGCTGTAAGAATACGTTCTCACGTCTCATGAAGTATGGATTAGCCTTGAGGTGGGTCCTTGTTTAGATGCAATGAATGCAAAGATGTATTGTGTTTACAGCTCAAATTAGACTAAATTCATATCAGAATAGATGTTAAATTGTCTAAAATACACTAACATGGAAATGAATGTCTGGGTCATGTTGCAGTTAATGTGATTTCTGCATTTACAGAAGTCATTAAAAGCCAATGCTTCAGTCAACACTTGGAGGGGAGAAACATATCACACTGTTGCTGGACTTCCTCTTCTAAAAATGGCTTGTGTGACGTTGGCTTTCCTACAGGGAGCCCCTGATGAACTTTCCATAGTCATGAAGCACCACACAACATGCAAGTACTACATTTGTGTTAAGTGGTGAAGATGCAAAATGTGTTCCGTTTTAAACTCCGGGGATTTCAAATTAAGGTCAACATTCATGCGGTGTCATTTTAAATCATGCAATAAAATCGATCCACATGCTTCAATATGTTACAAGGCCTGTCTTGAAAAGTGTGTTAAACTCAAACCATCAGCCTATAATTACAATTTTGAACAAAAAACACTGCTATTCCATCTACAGTGCTATACAATTGCCTTTCACTCATGCATTGTTAGATCGGCTGCTACTTTCTGCACTGTCCCGGTTAGGACGAGTGGGTTCCAGCAGGTGACACACTGCATTGATTAAAATACCTGGGGGATCAAACTGGGTGGCATTTGTGCTGCTCCAAAAAGCGATGGGGTTATCATAGAAAAGTCTAAGGTCCAGGCCTAAAGGATAATTTCACCAAATTGTGAAAAATGCCAAGCCACAAAAGATGTCAATCAGAACAATGTCTATCACATTAAAAAGTACTGTATTTTTGTTTTTCAAATGTTTTTAGTTTCTAAAAATGATACACTGTTGCAAGCTCAACGAAGGCTCTTCCTAGTACTTTTGGAAATTAAGATAATAAATACGACGGCAGAATCTGTAGAATATTACAAACACATTCAGACACTACAAAATAAAATCACAAAACAAGCAGGAGGCAACCTTCTTTCAAAGCTTTGTACGTACAGTCAGTGCTTTTAACAAACGGGATCATTAAATTACCTATTGACAATAATTCTTTTTAATAATTTGATTTACCCAATTACTACCCATTAGTGATGCGTGAGCTCACCTGGGGGTTTCAATGCAGGTAAACATGTTATTGCAAAGAGGTCCACTCTTGGGACATTTAGTCCGCACAAACTAGACTGCACCCCAGTGCATGTAATACGGCAATTGGAATTGGACTGTGCATTTAAGAGTTCAAGAAAGCTGTGATCAACATTTTTTGGCAGTCTAATGTGCGCTCTTTGGAGTGATGCTGTACGCTTTGGACCCGTGGGTCAAAACAACCTAATACCTATTTAATGTATATGTAACTGCCTAATTGTAAAATGTAATGAAATTTTGTCTTACCGTTATCTGGGACTTTGAATGCTGGGGTCAGTCCGAATCCTTTAGTCTTTGTGGTGATGGACTCTGCAGTGATAGCGGTGGATTTTGGAGTGCCAAAGATCTTTTGGATGCTGTCTGATCCAAACACAAACTTGGGAGGAGACATGACCGCTTTGGCGATGCTGGTGGAACTCTGACCCTCAACTGGACTAGAAACAATCTCAGGACTTCTTTCTTTTGTAGTTTCTTCCAGCACTTTAATAGCAGCCTCACCACAAACCACAGACTCACTTTTAGATGGAGTAGTTGTAGAAGTAGCTGTGATAGATGTATCTGCTACCGGAGTCATCAACTCCTCCTTGTATTGTGCAGTTTTGGCTTCATCAAAGACCTCTTTGAAATTAGAAGCAGTTTCTTGTAGCTTAAACCGGACAGCAAGCTGCTCAATTTTACCATCCGCCTCTTCAGAAAAATCCATAGCCATCCAGACCCATGCTCTTTCTGCACCTTTCATGGGCTCCAGTTTCATAGTTTCTGTTATCCAATGGTTTGCACATAGTTTCAGGACTTGATCTCTCCTCATTATAATTCTTACACGCTTAGTTGTTAGATTCTGCAGTATTTTGAGATCACCAATGCCCTTCTCCTTCCATTGGTTCACATCGTATCTATAAAGTTTGGCTCTGTAGCAGAAAACTACTTGCTCATTCTCTTCACCGGTAGACGGCTCTATCAGTTCAGGGAGACTGCAAACCGGTTCGAAATATTGTCCGTCCCGTTCTTCTTCCTGCACTCCATCCTCATCATCAGTTCCCACAGAACCTCTGCTTTGGTCGAGTTTAGCTGGAGACTTTGATGGACTTATCACGGGCTGAAAATTGAAACTAAATCCACTTGAAGCCTCGCCAAAGCAAAACAGGTTTTTCCTCAGTGGGCTGCTTGCAGTGGGGGATGCGTACACAGATGTTTCGGTTGTACTGTCCAAGGCATCCTCTCGCAGATCATAGTTGTCCCATTCAAGAGCTGGTCCAGTAGTTTCGCTTTGAGATTTTATAGCAAGACTACTCTCTCCTTCCTCATCTTTCAATTTGGTCTTATCTTCAGTCAAAAAGAATTTTAAATCCTTTAATCCAGACTTCATCTCTTCTGCTTTCTTAATCAGATGTGCTGTGCGCCCAGTATCAACAAGTTTGTGAGGTGTCTGTAAAGGAATATCAAGCAAAAGTCTCTGGCACTCTTCAAATCTTTGCTTGAACTCTTGGGCCAACTCTACTGTTTTAAACTTGGCAGCTAGCTGCTCCAGCCTTGCATCTCCATCTGCAAAGTCGCTGGCCAGCCACATCCACGCCTTGTCTGACCCGGCGAGGGGCTTGAGATTCATTGTTGTAGTGATCCAGTGGTTGGCGCACACTTTGAGCACTTGCTCCCGTCGCATGAGAATTCTTAGTCGACCGTTGACGTTATTTTTTAGGAATTTGAGCACTCCGACACCACGTTCTTTCCATTGGCTAACATCGCTGTCAAACCGAAACAGTTTTACCCTTTGGGAGTACAGAAGCTCCTCATCTTCCTCACCTGTCAACAAATCAACTTTATCTGGCATCTGTACAACTGGTTCAAACTGAATATCATCATTTTCTTCAGTCTTGTACATGTCTTCTTCTTCACCCTCCTTTGTGGCATCTGATTTGGAGGGAGTGGCTTGAAATGAGGTGAACAATTGCTCTCCAGCTCGAGTGAATCCTGAAAAATTTGGATCATTTTCACTAAACTTGAAGTCGCCATCTGTTGACTTGGCTAAATCTGCAAAACTAAAGCCAGTAGACTTGCCAGATATAAGTGGGTTTTCCTCTTGATCGCTAGAAGGTGCCTCTTTACAGAGCCCAAAGTTAAAACCACCAGACGTTTTTGAAAAATCAGGAAAGGCAATAGTGCTGGGCATTTGTGCAGTTTCTGTAGCGGCACCTTCTTTTTCGTTATGTTTGTCTGCAATACTTTTCAGAAAACTTGATACTGGGTTGGAGGATGAATCCTTGCCTTCAGTTGTGTCATTTGCTCCATCTTGAGTACCAAACTTAAAATCTCCAGTTGGAATTGAAAAAGAAAAACCTGAAGAAGTGTCAGTGCTGGAGCTCGTCTGCGGGGCTTCAAATTTAAAGGATGCAGCTGAACTCTCTTGGTCTTTGCTTTGACCGAACTGAAAAGAGCTATTCGCACTCCCAAAAGTGAATCCACTTGAGGAAGGCTGGTTGAGAGTAAAACTAAACGATGATGCAGATGGAGCAGCTGTGCTACTCTTTGAGCTTTCTTTAGCGTTGGGATTGAGAGTTTGGCAGGCGATGCACTTTTGATCTGACGCTTTGTTTCTCAATAAACAAGTGTCACAATCCCATTCCCCTTCCTTTTTGGAAAACCTTGCTTCAAAAGGGGTAGGGTTAGCCGCACTGCAGGATACGCAAGCAGCGGCTGAGGCTTCATTGCGGACAAGGCATGTGTCACAATCCCATTGACCGGGTTTTTTGCCAAACTGTGCAGCCAAATCGATATCCTTTTTCGCAACTGTAGCAGGAGTGGTTTTAGTTTCAGACGTCAAAGGTGTAGCAGCTGCTTTAGTGGAACCCTTCACTAATTTGCATGAACAGCAGGTATCATTTGAAGTGTCATTTTTAGTGGAGCATTTCTCACATGTCCACTGGTCGGACTTTTTGCCAAATCCAGCACCAAAACCGGAGAAAAAATTAGCTCCAGTTTCGACTGGCTTTGTTGTTCCAAAAGTGATAGACGACAGCGTAGACGACCCAAAACCACTAAATCCAGCAAAGGGAGATGAACTGGCCGGTGCGCTCGGCTGAGTTGGATCTACACCAAATTTGAAGGAAAAAGGGCTGCTTTTTGTCTCAGCAGGTGCCTCAATGTCTGTTGCTTTTGCATTGGGATTTGGAGTTTGACACGCAACACATTTTACAGTTGATGGTTTATTGGTAATACAGCAGACACTACATCTCCATTCACCTTCTTTAGGTGCAAACTGAGCTGCCAGTGAATCAATGGGTGCAGAAAACCCAGTTGAACTTGAGGTGCTGGATGGGGTTGACTCCGTTCCAAACTTGAATGCAAAAGGACTACTTGTACTTTTTGTCTCAATAGGAGCTGTAGTGTCTTTTGCTTTTGGATTGGGAGTTTGACACGCAACACATTTTACAGTTGATGGTTTGTTGGTAATACAGCAGACACTACATCTCCATTCACCTTTTTTAGGTGCAAACTGAGCTGCCAGTGAGTCTGTGGGTGCAGAAAACCCAGTTGAACTTGTACTGTATTGGATGGACTCCGTTCCAAATTTGAATGTAAAAGGGCTACTTTTTGTTTCAGAAGGAACTTGGCTGTCTGTTGCTTTTGCGTTGGGATTTAGAGTTTGACACGCAACACATTTTAGAGTTGACGCTTTGTTGGAAATACAGCAGACACTACATCTCCATTCACCTTCTTTAGGTGCAAACTGAGCAGCTAGTGATTCAGTGCGTGGAGCTGGGATGCTTTCTTCCTTTTTGGGCTGTTCCTCTTGACTTTTCTGAACAATCTTTCGCGCCTCTTCAAATTTTGACTTAAAAAGCGCAGCTTCGTCCGCCGTTTTGAATCGAATAGCCAACTGTTCTGGTTTGGGCTCTTCATCTGCATAGTCAAAGGCATTCCACACCCAGGATTTGTCAGAGCCAGCATTTGACTTCAAAAGCATATCAGTGGTAATGTAGTGGTTGGCGCAGATTTTGAGAACTTGCTCTCTTCTCATAAGGAGTCGAACCTTACCATTAATGTTACTTTTTAGAATTTTAACGTTACCAATTCCTCTCTCTTTCCATTCTTTTGTCTCGTTGTCAAATCTAAAGAGCTTGGCTCGGTTACAATACATCTCTTCTTCATCCTCCTCACCAGTTTTTACATCTACTTTGTCGGGAAGTGGTACAATCGGTTCAAAATGTGGGCCATCCTCATCCTCATCGACATGACTACTATCATTGTCGCTTTCGGATTCTCTTGCCTCATAAGTTGGATGCTGGGGAATTCCAAATGCGGGTTTAGACAGGTCCCCAAACTTGAATGGTTGGTCTACCTTGCCGATCACATTCCCTGTGCTTATACTCGGAACAGTATCAGAGAAAGGGAAACCTGTATTGCTCTTGTTGCCAAAAGTAAAAATATTAGATGGGGCGGCCGGCTTATCCTGGGTTGACACATTACCTTCCGTTTTGGGGGGTAGATCTGAGGTTAGCAGGCCGAGTAAGCTTCCAGAAAGTTTATTTTGGGACGCAGAAAAAATAAAATCGCCATCGTTTGATTTAAAGTTGGAGTTGAATTTAAATGCAGTTGTTGGGGTGGACTGGGCGACAACACCTGCACCAAAAACTGGGACTTTGGGGACTTCAGCAGGTGCCTGTTGTCCAAATGAAAGCTTTCCAAATTCCACCGGTTTCCCATCAATTATTTTCGGGGGCTGGGTCGGGACTACAGACGGTTTGGTGAAGTAGCCTGGCTCAGGTAGGGAAGGATTCGCCGCAGTTTGTTGACTTGGGGCATAGTATTCCTCGCTATATGGGGACAGGAGGTTGGTGGCAGGGGATTCGAAGCGTAGCGGGGTACCAAAGACTTGTTCTTGTGGGGGGTAAATGCATGGAGGACCAGCCTGAAGAGGAGGGGTGTTGGTGGGCGGTTGGTAGGCGTACATGTGCGGCTGGGGTGGCATTCGGTTCATACCATACATAGGGCCCTGGGGAATAGTGCATTATTTAGAACATTTTATGAGTAAAATAAATTGACTTATTAATTTATTTTCAAACCTTTGTTGGTGTCACATTTGCAGCAGTACGCAGGAGATACTGAGAGTTTAAGGCTGGAGACTGGTTGTAAAAAGCAGATGCTCCTGTGGTAGAAACTGAAAAAAGTAATGTAAGCTTTCATATTTCCACACTACTCTGATAGCTAAAAGATACAAACATGAACAAGAAATAAAGAATAGAGCATTTTGATGTTATTTGTCAATTTAATCCGTGACAGTAAACCACTAATGAACACAAATCATTATGAAAATATATCCTCATTTGACTCACCAGTGAGAGGAGTCCCTTGGTAGGACTGGGCAGGTGTGTAGGGGTCCTGCAGCCCCTCGGCTCCGTACGAGTCACTGTAGAGTCTGTGATGAGGTGAACCCACAGCCCCAGATGCGTTGTGCCTCAGATCATGAACTTCATTCTGTACAACACAACATTATACAGTACAGGCGAGTTAACATTTACAGCGTTCTAAAAAATGGCTTTGTTTTGCATGATCTGATTAAATGCATTGATGTAAGATAGATTTAACTCAGAGGGAACAATAAAAAGCAACAACCTATTTGCATGTTATCAGTACAATTTGGGTGATGGCCATACCTTGAGAGCTTCAACTTGCTGACACAACATCTGGAGGAGGCTTTTCTGATCCTCCACCCAATGGGGAGGAGTCTTGGGAGATATCTGTGAGAACAAATTCAAATAACAGTTTCAGCTTCCAACTGTCTTTTAAACTGTCTTTGCAAAACTCATAAATGCAATTCCTGCTGAACTCGATGGACTGATAAAAACATACCAGGTGTCGTTTAGAAGGCGAGACAATGCTTTTGTTTGGTGAAGGTGTTGAGAACTTGATGTGGGAGATGGTGGCAGAGATGCCGTTGTCGTGAGCCGGACTCGAGTGCGCTGGGCCCTTTTGCTCTGGCTCCTTGTCCTCGTCCATGACATCACTGTCGCCCAGCTGCTGGTTCACATCATTCAGGAGGTCCACCACTTCCTCCATCGACACAGGCAACTACAACAGACAAGTGATGAACTACAAAATGCTTCTTTACAATAGATAATGAAGGACACATAGAATAAAATATGTACTACTAACATTTGGTGAATAATATACAAACTTTTATTTTTACTTGTTGTATAATCGTGTAGCTTTCAGCTTGTTATTGGCTTATCCAACACTGTAACTAAAAAGGCTTATCCATTAACATTTAGGAATGATGCTACATGCTTAATAAATATATTGACGTATACCTATATGTTACCTATTGTTGATAACAGATAGGTTGCGTCAATATACATACCTAATATTGGGTTGTATTTATTAAATAACCCAAACCCTTACAATTGTTATTAAAGAAAGAACAAGTAAAAAATCCACTGGGAGAATGGTTTAAGTCCAACAATGATAAATAAATAATTAAGCCATACCCTGTCAACATCCTCTGCGTTGGCGTTGTAGACTTTGGACAAATAGGCTTTGAATTTCCTCAAGAACATGATGCATCTGTCCTGGGTCTCCTCGACGCCGTTACTGGCCTCTTCTGACAGACGCTGATAAATCTACAACAAAAGCCACACCACTAAGTTTTGTTTGTGTCCAACTGATAAGACACAAAGATTAAGAACCACAACAAAAAGCCATAAACACAAACCTGGGCCAGATGCCAAATGGACGATATATTGTCAATGGTTTCCAATGTGGAGATTGCCTCTTCAGTTCTCCCCTCAATGTCCAGCAGTGTAGCAAATGCAATTTGGGCTTCTTCCTGAAGTGGCTTCACAGAAGAGATCTGACAAGAATAAATATTGTTACTTTTACGGTCAGCTTACAGTGATCCAGAAAAGGGCAGCACAATAAAGTGCATTCAAATAAAAATCACTTTTGTGGATGCAATTAGCAAATGTTCACTTCTTAAGACCTGTTTTGTTGGTAATTGTTGGTAAAAAAAAACCTTTGATAGGATGTAAAAGTAATGTAAAATTTATAAATCGGTACAAGCGATACCTGTATGTCCTTAGATGGAAAGTGGATGAAGAGCGGGTCCAGGGGCTCAGGGATGCTGCGCCGAAGCTTGATTTTGTCCAATAACGGCAACGCGACCCGCCAATAGTGAACACTGCGGGCGATGTACTCTGTGCGGTCGTAGTAAGAGTCTACGCTATCACCCTGCCAAGTGTATAAAAGTAATGAATAATCATCTGGGAAGTCATTTTAGAAGTCAGTAATGTTTAACCCTGAAATCATTCCATCACATTCTAAACATTTTAATCTTTGGGCTTTTTCTAAAGTATATGGCAGGAAGTTCAATGACCACATGGATAACCCTCCAAGATGTTGTGGAGAAAATAGATATAAAACAATAACTGTTTAAACCTCAAGGAAGATTAATTGGCACTGACGTTTGAGAGAGTGGCACAGGTGTAAAACAAGCAAAGGCTCTGCAAGGTTGCATAAAACAGCAGGACATTCATCACTCTCATGTGGTTGTGACTAAGGCTGAGTATTTACAGAAGGTGCTTCTCAAATCCAAATTTTATCCGAATTGGATAAAAAAAAAAAAATCAAAGCAAATGAACAAAAATAAAATAAATGTCACTACTTTGATTCAATACTTTGATTATTCTAATTAATAAACATGTAATATTGTATTTGTTGTCATAGTTTTATACGGTCTATATTTTTGTTTACCAAAGACGTCCAAGTAAAGCATTTTGTGTTTTGTGTTTGTAAAGAAAATAAGGCTGTGTAAATAAATCCTACTGTATTATATTCAGTGAGTATGTCAACAGTGTAACCATCATATTGTACAGCCTGTTTATACATTTAAACATTGTCAGGACAAACAACATGCCTGAATAAAAGGATGTTGTTCATTTTACTCGCCCCAATTATAAAAAGGTCCCGTATAGAAACTTTGTAAACCATTTTTCTATACTTTTTCAATCCATAACAAAACAGTTTAAAAAAGCGTTCAGTGGTTTGGAGGTGTCAATACTGAATGCAACCAAAAGAAATATCTACTTTAATAGTTAGGAAAGCATCAATACAAAACACGGCCGAACAATTTCAGGATGTGTCATTATTTACCGTCTGGTTGAGGGCTTTGGCCCAGTGAATAGCCAGTGCCGGCTGCAGTCCATGTTTCTCTCCTGCTCTCAGAGTGCTCAGCCCGTGCTGCACAATCATCCTCAGTTTGGCCGACATCCCAGGACTACAGAGAATGATTAAAGTATTAAATCCTATTTAGGAATATATGACTCAATATTGACATTTGAAAATGTTTAAAACAAACTGAAACTTTGTCTGAATCGTTGTTTGGATATGCATATGATATTGTACTTAAATTTGTCCCAAACAAACCTGGTGCCACTAGAGGACATGTAGGACGAATAACATTTTCTTCCAAAACAGATGTTAAAATCAGATCTGAGTCTTTAACACATGTATGTGCTGAGAAATATGATTTAGAGTCTGTATAGAGAGCCGTTACCGATAACTAAAGTTGATGTTGGCTCTTAAAAAAATAGTATGGCTGTAACTATTAATAGTTGAGATGGTTACAGCCTTACTAACATCCTAGTTTTCAAACACATACATAAGTGGGCTGAGAACAAGCTGTAATAAAGTTTAAGTTTTTTTTACAAATATCTGAATACATTTTGGAAACGGGCAACATGGCAGCCATTACATTTATTGATGAATTACTCACGCAGCTCGTTTGTGGATGAGGCTGTAGGTGGCATCCCACCACTCCCGCTGTCTGTCGGTGGTGAGGAGGCGGAGCAGCGGCAGCGGGAGACAGTGCGGCTCGAACTGAGGCTGGTTCACACCCGAGCTGAGCTTCGCTGTCTCCTGGAGCTGAGAATGACTGCAGAACACCACACCATGGACAAACACCTGCAGAGAGAAAAACAATCACATAGTATCACATATTTTTATGAATGTGGTACATCTCATTACATTATAACCAGTACTCAAAGGGAGCATGATATAATAAAAATAATATGGTCCATGTCAAATATTCAACAAAGCCTTAACGATCTTCACCTTTACAGTCAATGACTTCAATAACCCTAGCATTGAATAAAATAATGCTTGGATCACGTAGTCCCAATAGCATTATTATCTAGAATAACAAGAGGAAAATGTAAAACTACCCACCTCCAGATCAAGCAGGCAGATTGACTCAGGATAATTTACATCCAGTTTTGACGTTTCGAGGGTGAGTTTGGGAAAGAGCTGCTGAAGCCAGTTTCTCAGATCCGCTCTTTGGGCCATGAGGGTCCACTGCAGCCCCAACCAACTCAGATGCTGCAAGTCACCACTATGTAACAGAATGGATCCTGCAGAAAAATGTGGGCAAAATAAATTAGTACGAGAAACTTGGGAGAGGGAATAGGCCCAACTTGAATAAAAAGGTCAGTACCGCTGTCGCACTTGGCCAGATGAGAGCTTTCTGGGACCACAGCGGTTAAGGATCGAATGTTATCATTGACAATAAAAGATGAAGTAGTGGAGGCTTGTGATCCAAACAGCAGCTCCAGCAGAGTGTCCTGACCACTGCGGTTTCCAAAAGCTTCCACCACCTTCAAATAAAATATGATGTTACTGATAAAACAGGTCTACAGTTTATTGTATATAGATGGTGGTGCTTGCTTTTCTAAATATATAGGGCAACTTCTAAATAGCAAATAGTGGTTTATTTATTGACATTTAGGGACATTGGTCATCTGCCCCTTACGGGACGCTGTTCTTTTTTAATTATTGCATTTCTTATGTTTGTACTGTTTGATTCTGTGATCTGTGTTTTGAATTTTATGGTTTTGTAAAGTCTGAGATACTGTTGTGATTTAGGGCTATACAAGAAGGAATTGGTTGATACTTTTAACAACTTTATTGAATAACTAGAATGCTGGCAAGGGGTTTCTTGCATTGCATTTTTCAACCGTTTATTTTGATTGTAAGTGTACCCACCTCGCGGATCAAAGTGGAGGCGTCAGAGCTGAGGTTGAGCAGCATGTGTCCCGCTTGACTCTGGCGGTCACTGGCCACAAGCTCCAAGAACTGAGGCGCAGGTTGGTCTCTTTTGGAGATCTTAGGCTTTGGTCTGGGAGCCTGCAGAGGACAGACAAGAGAGATGACAAGACATCAACATTTTCATCAGAGTTTTCTAGCCAGGAGAAGTCCCATTTCACCTGATGAAATGTGTATATTAGCTGTTTATCAATTATTATCCGAGTGCAATAACATAGTAATACAATTTATTACAACAGAGTTACAATGATCATATTGAAGCGATTTTGACAATGACAAAATAACTAATATCATTAAAATACTTTTCAAAAATAAAAAAATTCAACCATTTACAACTTGAACAATGAAAAATAAAAAATAAATAAATACATACAAAATTTAAGAAAATGTGCAGATAACAAGAATTGGTGAATATATTGTTCATGATGAGACCTGATGTATAGAAATATAAAGTATGTAAATAAGCAGTCTACCTGGTATGCCAGCAGATAGCACAGTGCAGCATAATCCACCACTGCCCTCCAGGTTTGAAGTCGCTCTTGGGCCATTTTGAGCAGCAGTGTGGCGGCGTGCAAGTACAGGTGACCTCTCATCTCCAAAAACACCTCAAAGAGATCGTCAGCGTGTCGCACTGCAACACTGCTCATCTCGTACATTGCTGCATCAAAACTGAGCACAGGACAAGACCACACAAATTAATCTCTATATGTGAAGTACAAAAGCTTGAGGTCAAACAGATCCTGGGACAAACACCAACTCTACGGTACAGCTGAAAAAATATAGTCTGATTTATTACATTGAATTTCTTCTTCTATTTTCCACATTATTATCAATGGTTTTGTAACAAAATTTGTGGACTTATTACAAGACATCCAGTTTACTTTGAAATCTATACAAAAATTAAATTGGTGGAAAACCATACAAAATATATCAAATAATAAACCCAACACAGTTTCAAATGTAACATACTTCCGGAGAGCCTCGATGCCTGGCTGCAGGCCGCTGCTCGACAGTCTGAGCCTCAGGAGGCTGCACAGTGACAGCAGCAACTCCTTCTGCAGACGGCGACACATCTTCTCATTTCCAGAGACATTGGGCTGAGCCAAGTACTCCTACAAAGCAGAATTGATTTGATCAAAGATATTGTTACTTAAGGATCTGCACTGGGATCAAGGGGCTTTTCCCAAATGACGTTTATAGCGATAAATTCCACGATTGTATTAAAGTCAATTCCCCATATGAAATATATACATTTTGTTCATTGTCAATACATTTTAATAATGATTTAAACAAATAGAATACAGCAAATAATGCTCACTTCTGAATACAAAAGAAAGCACAAACAGTTTTTAAATGAACCTGAACCCCGTGCTGTGAACAAACACGCGCTCTGCTGACCTGAAGCGTTTGCACCACGACGCTGGACCACTCCAGGCTGTGGCGCAGCACGCCTCTCTTCTCCACAGACAGACAGTGCTTCACCGCCTCCTCCAGACGCCCGTCTTGGCAGAAAAGTTGAACTAGCTTCACATTTACATGAGTGTCTCCAGGCCGCGCTGCCAGCTCGGCCTGCAACAGGTCGAACAGGCGGTTCCATCCTTGTTGCCCCTGACGATTCAACAGCCGCTCCTAAAGAAAGGATGAATTATGCATCAACATTCACGTCTTAAAATCCAACCTTCAGACATAAGTTGATATTGAGTGAAGACTCAATGAAGGCTATGTCATTGTTGAAAATATTTGAGACTTATAAAGTGAAGTGACAATGTTCAGTGCGGCACCTCACCTTGAGATTGAAGACTGCAGGGCTTCCTGGGAGCAACTTTGACGCTTTTTCAACCCAGAACTCTGCTCTGCTGTCACTTTCCTCCTGACTGACGAGCAGCTCTGCAACTTTCAACACCAGGTCCTTCTGCGCTGGATTCAAGTCCACCGAGCGCTGCAGAGAAAGTCAGCCAAATTTAACTCTTTCAAATAAAATCATTCTGAGCCAAAACACAAGAGCCATCAACATTCAGACTAAACTGAAGCAGCAAAATATGAGTAATAAGATAGGACATTGGTTAGGGCATAAATGCACTTTACATTTTACTGTGGTATAAAAAAATTAACACACAATAACTCATTCAAAAGGTCAGACATAAATACATTGAAAAATTGCGTGTTTACTCCAGTTTCGTACCCTGTAACAGCCCACAGCTTTGCTGATGTTGCCCTCTCGTTCAAACAGCTGTCCAAGGAATTTGTGTGCTTTGGGATCCCTCTCTTGGATCTTGAGATACTCCGAAACATGCCTAGAAACATAAGTTTTTCTAATAAATAAAATGTTGTCAAAACAACTTTTAATGCAGGATGATTATATTATACCTTTTTGCGAGCTCATACTCCTTTGCTTCAAAATACAACTTTGCAAAGAGAAAGCCCTTCACTGGTTTCTGAAAAAATGCAGGTATTATAAAAATAAAGTATTTGTTGTTCAAAGCATTTTATTATAATCATCATCCCTCAAAGATAAGTGGATAATAAGGCATAGTCACAACAAGCTGGAAAGGGTTAATGCAGTCAGTGCCAGTCGTGACTCTGAAAAGTTCACTTGGTGCACAGAATAAAGCAGATCAGGTTTCAGTATTCAAATGGCTTACATTCTCCCTAAGCTTCTAAACACCAGTTTGTGGAGAGGTCAGTGAACCTTTAATGAGCATACCCAGGACTCAGAAAATGACAATTTTAAATCAAATAATTAACAAAAAAAGTGGTTATATTTCACTGTATTACACTGTGACTACATTTATTCAGTCAGTGGGGCTGCAACTAACATTTATATTGATAATAGGAAGTCGGGCTGTCAGGAATCGGATATTAACAAATACTAAAACTAGAATTGAAACTAGAAACTAAATAGATAGTTGGACATTTTATGAGATCGTTTAGTCCTTCTGAATTAAAACAGAATGGAAGAATTAATATAAAACCCATCCATCCATATTCTTCCCCACGACCCAGAGAAGCAATCAGCGGCCACCCAATTCATACAACACCAGCCCCAGGTATAAAACCAGTACCATAAAATATACCCATGTTTTGTGCAAAAAAGTATAGCATTATAGTCATATTGAAAATAGTCTTTTAGAATTGTGACAACACTCTTATGCCTTTTCTCAATTTTTAATTGTATAACTTGCATCTCGAACCAAAGCTAGTTCCTAGTTTGTGACCTCCTGTTATTACAATGCCAATAAAAATGATTCCAATTCTGATTCCAATTATCTATGATTTAAGATGGTTTCTATTTTATTTTGTTTAGCATCGTGTATGAACTGTACTAGCGTTATACTAATAAACTTGCCTTGTTCGGATTGTGTGCAAGGTTGTAAAAAATAATGTTTGAGGACATAGAATTTCTTTCATTATTCTTAGCTATAGATCCGGTGCTTGCATACGAGTACTTAATAACATTTAAATTAAAGTATGATTACGATTTATTAGTGTTTCGCTTAATAAGAGACATAAAACCACACAGATAACCAACATAAACTCAAAAAAATGACCCACCATTAACGTTTTACGAATGATTGAAAACAACTTTATTTACATCAACTCAAAACATGGCATCCAAATGTCAATGTGACCCATGTGTAGCATTCTACCGCAACATGAAAAAAACTTGTTCAACCAGTTTTGCAAGCAAATCTAAACATCCACGCTGTGTCGTGTTGTTTATCCTCATGCTCTTGGTTTCTATGCAACAAGAAAGTGTTAATGTGAACTCCCCTGAATCAGCTAGCTACATAAGTTATGGAGGCTAGCTAGCTAACTTGAGGCTACAACATAGAAGCAGCGCGAGGCATTTTGGACCACAGCTAATCCCAAACACTAATATAATGACTTTGTGAAGGAATGGGGTGATAAATGTAACCGGTATTTCACACACAAACGAATAGAGAGTCCGTAGTTTGACACTGATTTCCACCTGTGTGTGTGTGTGTGTGTGTGTGCAGGTCGCGGCTAAACATGCTGGAGTTAGCTTTAGCCTAACCCGGCTTCACTCACCTCTTTGAGCAAAGGCGAAGAGCTCTGCACAGAAGACACGTAACGGTCTACTTCAATCTTACTCCTGCGCATTGCTTCGAAATATAAGCAAAGAGGTGCATAGGAAATTAGAAAGTCGCTTAACTAAATAAAAATAACATGAATACAGTTTCTGCAGTCACTCTTAGCAACTCCCCGTGACAGCAGTGCGCAGTTGAACGGCGTTTCCTTGAACTGGCCAATCAGAGGAGAGTATTCGCGATCACTTCCGCTGACGCACATGGGTGACTCCCCCAGACTAGAAAATAGTTAGTAAAATAAGACTGACATTACATAAAACAGTTTAGTAAACATTTATTTCATTGTGTCAGTTCGTTTGTTGGCTACCTTATCCCAACCACAACCCAAATGTCACACAGTCTAAAGATGGAAACGTTAGACACGTTTTCAAAATTTACAATCCAAATGAAGAACATCTGTTGTATTTAATTTTAAAGTAAATGTGATTATGTACTTTAATTTGTATACGTTATGATTAAAAACATACTTAAAACATACATAAAAATATCTAAAAACAATTGCACTAAATATATTTTCAGTAGAATTCTTTGATATTGAAATTCCGAAGTGAAATGCCATTCAAGAATTTTGGTTTCTTGCCTAAGAGAGTCTGCGCCGTGAGGAAGTGGCTGCACCTGCTTAAGAGGATCACCGTTCTTGGATTACAAATAACATCAACACATGTTCAAATCCTGTCTGCCACATTCCACAAGTCATAACGCGGTTGCACAGTCGCCTCTCAGTTAATGGCGTCATTGTGGAGCCGCTTAGCCCTTATTTACAGAGCCACAGCTGACTAGACCGCTACACCTGCTGCTGTGAGCGAGCAATTTCACTATCAGCAAGTGCATATTCACCAAGAGGCACTTTGTAGGAGGGAATTTCATTGGATTGGATTTGTTTAAATGTTTGTCTCATCGTCAAGTGGATTATTAAAATGTCAAAATGGGTGTAGTCAAGGTTTTTTACGGTTATCTAAAAGTATGTAAGTAAGTAGTAAGTAAGTAAGTAAGCTTTATTTATATAAAATAAATATAAGTTTAATAAATATAATAAATTAATAAGTTTTAAAATATTAAATTCAGGAGGAAAACTTCAATAAAAAAATTATGAATTCACAACATTTAACCTTAGTTATATTGTGCAGGCCCCCGTTCTATTCCATAAACAAATCCGGGATCCACACAGTGATCAGGATCACCACAAAGATGTAATACTTTGTTCCCTGTCCAATTAAAAGATCTAGATTCTGCAAAGTTCAAACAAAACTTTAGTCTCTACTATGTTTAAATAACCTAAAAAAATATGAGAAATGAAGTTCAGAAACATTAAGGGATTGATCAAAGTTCAGGAAGTATTTAGTATTTGATTTTGATCAAATCTTTAAAAATCTTTAAGTATTAAATATGTTGTTGTGTTATGTAGTTACAGCAATTAAAATAAAGTGCAATAGTCTACATTACAAAAATACAGGTCAACCACAGTAAGAACAAATGATAAAAATAATAATTTAAATGAGCATTTATTTAGTTTGAGGTGCCACTTGCATGTGAAAGCCAGATCCTATCAAACCTGAAACTAAGCAGGGCAGGGCTTGGTTAGTACTGTGATGGGTGCCACAGTAGGGGTGGCTGTTAAGTCCCAAACTTTAGTTGTGTCCATAGGCAAGAAACTTCACCCACTTTATTCAGAATAAGTCTGGTGTGGGTGTGTGAATGGTTGGTGGTGGTTGGAGGGGCTGATGGCACATACTGGTTGCCTCACTTCTGTCAGTCTGTCATCCCCGTGAGCAGAATGAAAGAATACTGACATGTATTGTGTTGTTGAGCGTCCAAAAAACTCTGTAAAAAAATAAAACAATTGATGCATTAATATATTCACTTTGCATGATACTGCTTAAGTTTTGTCCAGGTGCCCTACCACAAAAAATATGTACAATAGTCTCCTCCTATCGGGCGGCAGAACCCTGAAAAATAGATCCTGGAATATCAGCTGGACATTCCTGGTTATAAAAAGGTGAAAATATAACAACGACAGAGGCATTGATTTTCTCACACCACCTTTTAAATAAAAAATGACATTTGATTGTGTAATTTATAAATCAAAACACCTCACAAACAAGTTGTTACAATAACTTTATTTAAAAACTAAGATCGGTGTCAATACATTTCATAAATACTTTGATGATTCTATATGTACATCTTGTGAGTTCATTACAGTAACATTTGGCTGGATAAACAGTAACCATGCATGATATTATGGATAATACGCATAAATAATACTGAAGTAAAGAAGAAAGGAAATGTAACAAAAGTGTAAGGCAAACATGAGATTATAGACAACAGTTTTAGATGTATAAAATAATAAATGACAACTTTAAATACGGGGCTGTTTGATACGTGGTAAATGTTGTGGTGAAATAAGGCAAGCTTATGAGGAGTGTGAAAGCGCAGAAGGCACATTTGCATGTTATTAAGGAAAGCTCATTCCTTCGAAAATGATGGTGACCTCACAAAACGATGAAACTTCTGTTCAAATGAATGTCACCGCGACGGCCATCTTTGGTTGTTCGGCTGATTTCTCTGCTTTATTTACGTGCAACAGTTTCCGACAGCTTCTTCAGCCTTTTCTTTAGCTCCAGGGGGAACTTCTCGTAGCATTTCTTACAGACGGGCTTCATGTCGAACTCCACAAACTTGTTCCTACAAATGGCACAAAACACAAAACTTAAAGCCAACCAACCAAACATATACTTTTTGAGTTGGTTTTACTTCACAATCCCTGCTTTCATACACATAGAGTTGCTTTGTTATGCATTAGGGTTTTCTTATGAGTGTCCTAATCCTGTCCTGAGTAATATGGTTAAAAAAATAATTATTGAGTTAGTTTATTTGTTTTTGATACACATTTTAAAAATATAAAATTCAGGAGGAAAACTTCAATAAAAAAGTTATCAATTCACAACATTTAACCTTAGTTATATTGTGCAAGCCCCCGTTCTATTCCATAAACAAATCCGGGATCCACACAGTGATCAGGATCACCACAAAGATGTAATACTTTGTTCCCTGTCCAATTAAAAGATCTAGATTCTGCAAAGTTCAAACAAAACTTTAGTCTCTACTATGTTTAAATAACCTAAAAAATTATGAGGAATGAAGTTCAGAAACATTAAGGGATTGATCAAAGTTCAGGAAGTATTTAGTATTTGATTTGTATTTTCAGCCCATTGGCAGAATACTGTCAAGGTGTGGCATATTCATTAATTGGTTTTATTTTGACATACGTTCTGTGGTTTCTTTTTTAGTTTGACTTGTTAGATTGTCTGCCCCGCCCTTATGTATTTCACCTGTGTCTCTGTCGATATGTACCTGTGTTTCTGTGTCTATATGTACCTGTGTCTCTGTCTATAAATGTACCTGTGTTTCTGTATCTATATGTACCTGTGTCTCTGTCTATAAATGTACCTGTGTCTCTGTCTATAAATGTACCTGTGTTTCTGTATCTATATGTACCTGTGTCTCTGTCTATAAATGTACCTGTGTCTCTGTCTATATGTATAAATGTACCCGTATCCGTCTATAAATGTACCTGTGTCTCTGTCTATATGTATAAATGTACCCGTATCCGTCTATAAATGTACCTGTGTCTCTGTCTATATGTATAAATGTACCCGTATCCGTCTATAAATGTACCTGTGTCTCTGTCTATATGTATAAATGTACCCGTATCTGTCTATATGTACCTGTGTCTCTGTCTATATGTATAAATGTACCCGTATCTGTCTATATGTACCTGTGTCTCTGTCTATATATATAAATGTACCCGTATCTGTCTATATGTACCTGTGTCTCTGTCTATATGTACCTGTGTCTCTGTCTATATGTACCTGTGTCTCTGTCTATATGTATAAATGTACCCGTATCTGTCTATATGTACCTGTGTCTCTGTCTATATGTACCTGTGTCTCTGTCTATATGTATAAATGTACCCGTATCTGTCTATATGTACCTGTGTCTCTGTCTATATATATAAATGTACCCGTATCTGTCTATATGTACCTGTGTCTCTGTCTATATATATAAATGTACCCGTATCTGTCTATATGTACCTGTGTCTCTGTCTATATGTACCTGTGTCTCTGTCTATATGTATAAATGTACCCGTATCTGTCTATATGTACCTGTGTCTCCGTCTATATGTACCTGTGTCTCCGTCTATATGACCAGTGTTTCTGTATCTATATGTACCTAAGCTCTTATGTGTTGCTGGTTTATGGTCTTTGTCAGTGTATATTAGTCTGTTTTCCTGGTTCCTGGGTTGAATTTTATCAGAGAAAGAAAAAATGCACGTGTCAAACCCCCTGGAGTTGTGACATTGAAAGCTGTCGGAAGTGATTAGGATTTTTACTTTGAGAGGCCAGACAGAAAAAAACTATAAGCCTTCCATTCGAACAAAGAATTCACTGTAACCAGCACTAATCTGCATTTCCTGTTTGTACGGCAGAGGTTATCTGTAAACAGTGAAACATTAAAGAAGCTTTACCCGATTATTTTTCAAGTGAGTTTAAAAAAATGCTTATTACTGCATACAAGTTGTATTATAATCCGTAATTTAATTGAAAACTTGAGCTCATTGATTCAGCTGTGTATGAATTCATGCTGTAAAAAGTGCTGAGTAGAAACTTGGCGTGACGCCAGCTCTCCTCCAATCGCAGAACGAGGTTGCGTCCTCTAGCCTCTACAGCGCTGCTAAACACAGAAGCATGTTAGCAGAACCTTGCAGAAACGGGTATAGCTCCTATAAACAAGTTAAATCAGCAAGTTTTAATCTTGTTTGCAAACCTACTGTATTAATATGACTGACTATGGAATAGAAGAGGTGTTGAAGTTGTTTAAAAAATACAGAAAAAAATACCACTGTAAGTATGAAGAATAAGGAGAATGCAAGTCAGCTATATCATGTAAGTAGTAGTTACGTCTTATCATAATTTAATCTTAAATAAGACCATTATGAAGCTAATTTAGAAATGGAAAGGTGAAAAAAGGTGCAAAAATATGTAAACATGACGGATAATGACAGTATCTACTTATGGGTTTATTAATCAACATTTGAATAAAACAATTTTAAAGACATATTGTACTCATAGTGAAAATATTATAAAATTTTACTATAATTTTCTAAACGGGGACAGCATGGGTGATTCACTGAAATTAAATGTAGGTTCATTTTATATTGTGGAAGTTTCAATTCTAGGACAAATATGAGACAGGTTTGTGGAGATATGGCTATGTTTGTAATGCTTTTTCTTGTCTAATATAAAAATGTGTTATATCAGTCTACATATGTTTTATAAATAGTGTAATAACTGATAGTTTCATCTGTAATTTGGGATCATCAATACTTTTTCTTGATGTTATATTAGGCATTGGTTTAACCTTCAGTATTGATAGGACAAAGTACAGTTTACTTGGGCACTGCTAAGAAAATGAAATAATTGCAGAAAAGATAGAAGCAAAAAGGTAAAGGTGAAAAGAACTGACCAACAGAGCAGCAGAAGAGGTTTAAAATCAGCAGAAACGGCTCACAGACACATGGGAATCAACATTTTTTTCTTTTTGTCTTTGGCGTCACGTTCGCGCTTGGCCAGTCGCCGCCTCATGTCGTCTGGCAGCCGGTCGTAGCAGTGTTTGCAAACTGGCTTCAGATCCACCTCCACAAACTTTTCCCTGAAGCCAGAGTCACAGACGGGATATGCGAGAGAAGACAGGGCAGAGACGGATAGAGAAAAGATGAAAAATAAATGAGTGGAAGGAGCGGTAAGAGAGAAAGCTCAGTGGAAGGAAGGAAAGCAGGAGATTGTGTAGCAGTGAAATGTATTACAGGTTTGCTTGCGGGTTTTTACATTATACTGATTGACTAGAAATATAAATGTTGTTAGAGGATACACTCAATGTGTTGGGGCTGATATGAAAGGCTGATTTGTTTTGGTTCTATGATATAAGGTCATTTAAAATGGCTCCAAACTCATTGAGGCATTCCAACCCTCTTAAACCAACGACTTTATGTTGATTGTTTAGCCCTGAGGTGTCCATCTATGGTGGCATATGGAAACTGTACTGTACCATATACCATTGAAGCCCACAGAGAGAGGTCAATAATGTGAATCTTCCAAAACGCTTCTTTCAAGGTTCATCCACACTTTTATTTAGCCTCTGAACCTAAATGTTATTCACAGGTTTTTATAGTGACAACAAGTCCACAAATATTTTGGTCTATTTTGTTTATTAGAGATAGAGGACTTCTAACTCTTTGGACCCATTTGTCCCGACAGAAAGTAACATTTTGTGAAAAAATCAGACCACAGCATGGCGTTATTGTAAAACATGTTATCTTTAGCATACTTGTAAGAAAGAGCCCCGTGAGTCACTACTAGACGCTTTGGGCTTAGTGAGGGTGGTCCTCTCCTTTTCACTTTTCTGTCTGAAAAATCTGATCTTGTTGTGACAAAGGCCAAAAACACATACATAGTGATATAACAACTTTTATTTAGGGATAAAAACTTGTTAGATGGTTTTTGGAGGTTTGAACGTTAAGTACCTCAGCTTTAATATTGGTCTGTAATGGAAACAACCATTGCTACCCAATAGTAATCCTTTTATCTTTGAATCTCCTGGTTAGGGTCTGGTTTAGTTCAGGTTTCTAGGTAAAGTTTTTATAATACATTTAAACAAAAAAAAACATGTTTTTTGGCTCTCTTCACTTACTTGAGGGTGAGTTTGGTGTTACAGGTGGAGCAGGCAAAACAGTTGACACACCAGGCCTTGTTCAGGGCAGACACCACTGAAAATCAAAAAGCAAAATACAATTTGTCTTCGTAAAATAAAACCCTGATCCAGGACTCCTGTACGATTTGCAGCTCGTTGGTGACATCTAGTGGTGACATGCAACTTGTGCAACTGTGTCAGTGACATCAATGGGAAAAGCAGTTCCCCAAGATTATAAGAAAACCATGAAAGGTTGATAATATTTAGGAATTGTGTTATATACAGCACATAAATATAATATAACACTGAGAAGCTGTAAACTTTGCTTGTGGGTGTTTTGTGGTGAGTAGTAATTTAATAATACTGTGAAATGGCTTCTTACCATCTCCTTCAATCACACGGTTGCAGTGGTAGCAGACATCTCCAAACAGCTGAGGATAAAGACGTGATACAGTTAGTGAAGGAACATAATTACATTTGTTTTCTTTTTTTCATGTATCCCACAAGGGCTTGGCTCACCACATGCATCAAATTCCATGCAAATGAGTCAGCAACAGGCAATTCACTTACACTTGGAGACTGACTGAATGTGGTTAAGACACTAGATGGAGTCATAACTTCGATGGTTCAGATTATGATTACAGAATAGTGATATTTGCACAAAAAAGTAAAGAAAAAAAGCTCTGTGGCTTTTGTTTTATTTTTGTACTTTCATTATTGTCACAGTTAAAACCTACACGTACAAATAGAAAAATAAATAAATAAATATCCAAAAATCCCAAATAACGGTAACAAATTTAGAAAAAAAAAGTGTCTTCTTTTAGAGCGCCTTACCCCTAATTTATGAATAATTATATTACAATGATTTATCTATTTACGGCTGAATATCTTATGGTTGTGTATTCCTTCTGGACAAAAATAAATTCCAAAATATGCAAAAAAAACTACAGTTCTCCATCAAAAATGTCCAATATTTTACCTACACAAAGAGCAGGAAAACTCATTGAAATTCACAAGAGGTAGAATATGGTAAATATGTATTTCAATGAATACACATTAAACACTTTCTGATTCTTCTTTTTAAGTACTTCTAGACCTTAATATACCAAAATGACATATAGGTAATTGTGATTTGAATTGGTAAAAGTAACGTTGAACAAATGCAAGAACAGCAAGAAACCAGAAATGTACAAATGTAAAATTGTACCGTCTTTTCAGTGACAAGAAATAAATACTATGTTTTTTCAGTGTGTGCAAACTGAAACACCATGGAGGCATTATTATCACCAGGTCCCATCACGTTGCTGGTTACCTGGTTGTAGTGGGTCTCACAGTAGGCCAGTCCTTTGCGCTCATAGTGACGATGACCCAGGAAAGGTTTCTCACACTTTGCACACACAAAATGCTGCAAAACAAACAAAAACAAATGCCCAAAGCCAAGCACATATGATCAGCACAGCTGGCAAAAAAACACAGTAACACAACAATACGAGGTAAAAGCAAGTCACGTCTGTCCAGCTGTTTTCACTCTGAAGCAGGGAGGGAGGAGGAGGAGTTAGCAAAGACAGCCAGGGAAGCAATTCAGACAGAATGGTTCACCTGTGTGTGACGGAGGATACACTAATATCACATTCAGACTAACTGTATTTACTTGAGTAGGGCTGTAACTTGGGAGCAATTCAATTTGACTTTTCATTTAAATTCTGTCAAAACGTTTATACTCCAGAGATTTAATGATTATTGAAAAAAGTGAACATTTCAGTTTGAATCATACTTTTTATGCCGTTTTATTCCAACATTGCAACTCCTGGTCTAATGAGGGATCACACAGACTTATTTAACAAGAAAATAATAATAATTTTCAAATAGATATTAATTCAAAACCGCTGCTGCTGCCCCAGATAAAGCAGAAACAGGGGTTGGTTGGATAACATTGGAAAATAGTTTAAATTAATAATACAAATAATTCAAACAGGTTTCTTATAGCATAAAGTGTGCTGAATATTCATGTTGTATATTTATTGTATTTCAGAACAGGTGCCAATATTTTGTATAGAACGCTATGGGAAAGAAGCATTTTTTAAAGACATTTCTTTAAAATATTCTTCAAATATTTTCTCAGATCATAAATTGTTAGTGATTCTTTCTTGACATCTTTATGTGAAAATAATTAGACCATACCGTAGTTGAAATGGACTGACAAAGAAGGAGTGGAAAGGTTGTGACTTTAGTTTTATGTTGATTGGTCCAAGAATGACAGAGATTAGTTTTAATTTTAGTTACCAAGTTCCCTCCATCACAATCTTAAACTATAGGCTCTTTAGAATGTTTTATATATCATGAGCAGAACTTATAGTCATTTGATTGCAATTTATGTCTTTACCACACAATGCACATCAGTTATCACGATAGGTCAGTCATAATTAAATCCATAATATTGTTGATGAAAGTAGAATACATGGCTGAAGTCATATCAGTGTAACCCAGACACAGGAGGATGAAGCCATGATGCAGTGGAAACTTCCGGTTCCTCTCACCATATCAAAGTGCTTCTCACAGTAGGCACGACCCCCGCGTTCATAAAACGGGTGTCCCTGAAACGGCCGCTCGCAAATAGTGCAAACATGATGCTGCGAAGGGGAAGACGGCAGAATAACACAAAGCAAGAGGAGAATTACAAGAACGAGTTAAAAAAGGGGTAGAGAGAAACGGATTGGGAAGAATGGAAGAAGGCAGCTGCGAGATGACCTGTTACACATACACGAGAAAAAGTCAATAATTTGTATACATGTTTTTTGGAATATAGTATTAAACCATATTCATCAATTTGCTGTATGTGGCAATAATGGTAAAAAACAGTTATTTCTAGATCAAAACCATAGAATCATGAATTGACGCAAATCTTTGGAAATGGACAGTCACTTTATGCTACTGTGACTGATGCACTATTGTGTCTACTCAGTGCACTTGTATATAGTATTAATTTTAAGAAATGTAATGTAGATTTTTCTTAATTTCTAGTTATGCATGCCTTTTACTTTTATAACTTGTTTGCACCAAGAGCCAACTTCTTCTTTGACTTCCTGTTACTCACAATGGGAATGAAAAGAAATTGGATTCTGATTCTGAAACGTTAACACAGTTCTTACAAGTACATTTTTATAACATTGATACTATTGAAAACTTATTTTTTACATATTTTTTCAGATGTAGTGCAAAACATGTAAGTTACAGTCTGTCACTTGTACGTCAGTGGTCAGTGTGCCTACCTCCACGTGCCACTGTTTGCCCATGGCATTGACCACGCGGCCCTCAATGGGTCTCCTGCAGGCGCCGCAGATCGGGACGCCCATCTTATCGTGACACGGCAAACAGTACAGCTCGCCCTTCAGCTCACGGGCGTCAGACGTCAGCTCCTTTCTGCACGATGAAGACAAACGCGTTGTCATGATGCAGATTCTGTATTATTTTGTAATTGGTTTTTATTTTGACTTTTTCTCTGTGGTTGTGTTAAGGGCTAAGGTTAGATTACTTCCTGTCTTTTTCCACTGTGTAGGTCTGCTGTGTCTCTCTCTGTGTCTCTCTCTGTGCCTCTCTCTGTGCCTCTCTCTGTGCCTCTCTCTGTGCCTCTCTCTGTGCCTCTCTCTGTGCCTCTCTCTGTGCCTCTCTCTGTGCCTCTCTCTGTGCCTCTCTCTGTGCCTCTCTCCGTGCCTCTCTCCGTGCCTCTCTCCGTGTCTCTCTCCGTGTCTCTCTCCGTGCCTCTCTCCGTGCCTCTCTCCGTGCCTCTCTCCGTGCCTCTCTCCGTGCCCCTCTCCGTGCCCCTCTCGGTGCCTCTCGGTGCCTCTCGGTGCCTCTCGGTGCCTCTCGGTGCCTCTCGGTGCCTCTCTCCGTGCCTCTCTCCGTGCCTCTCTCGGTGCCTCTCGGTGCCTCTCGGTGTCTCTCTGCGTCTGTCTGTGTCTACATGTCCCTGTGCTCTTCCCCCTTTGTTGTTGCTCCATTGTCTTTGTCTGTGAATGTTTGTCCATGATCCTAGTTCTTTTTGGATTTTTTAAGATTGTTTTTACCGTGGAATTTTATTTATTATTCATACTGCATTTTGGTTCTCCTTGTTCCTTGTTTTTCACCACGTAACACACATTTGTTATACCTTTTTTAGAATTTTAACTACAGTTTGCTTTTCTGTTGCCATCTTTCATTTATTAGTTTGATTTTACAGTAGAATAGTCATCAAAGTAATCAAAATTACTTCAAAACCTGCATGTATAATAATAATGATAATAATGTATAGGAAAGTGCAAACGTGTACCCGCAGTTGTTGCAGTTGAAGTGGTCGGGGTGGTACGGATCGTTCTTGAAAAGCAGCGGCTGCTCCTCGATGATGGCGTGACACTTCTGACAGATGTACTTCCCCAGACCGCGAGCTTTCTCCCGGTTATGACACGGGCGACACAAGTGCCTAGTCGAGAAAGCAAAAAGTTAAACAAAAGTTACAAACATAGTGCGTACTTTATTTTTTATCACTTTTTGTTTTGATCTGACCTGCCAGCATTCTTGACGAAGCCCACGTCGGCGAGCACGGCCTGGCAGATGTCGCAGCAGAAACAGTCCGGGTGCCAGCTGTTGTTCATGGCTTTGATCACTCGCCCAATGATGAACTCACCTGGGATATCAATACAACTAGTTTTAAATCAGAGCAGAAAGTCGGGCAAAGTCAAGACAAAGTTGTGTGATAACGTGCACACGAGTTGGCGATTATTAGGGAGGTTATAATTAGACTTGACTTTTGTCCAACAGCTTATGTTCTGAGTCTATGGCCTGCCAGAGGGAGTAGATCCCTCTCTCATTGTGGGCCTCCCCAAGGTTTCTCACATTGTCCCACTGGGTTTTAGAGTTGTTCCTTGCCGATGCAGGAGGGTCTAAGGACATCTAAGGACATTCAATGACATTTAATAACAACTACTGAAAACATTCGTAATCCCCCCATGGGCCAATGTCTCCTATTAAGATAAGATAAGATTCACTTTACTGTCCCAAGGAAAATTTACTGTGGGATACAGTGCTCCACAGATCTGCATGAAAGTCTCGGTTTGGTCAATCAACTCAGCATCAAAATAAATAGTAGGTCCTTGACAAAAAAAAGAAAAAAATATATATAAAAAAGAATACAAAAAAAAACTTCATACAGTTTTGGAGTGCATTTATTATCTGTGTTTTTTTTTTTTTTTTTTGAAAGTGCCTCTGAAGTCGGGACAAAGGAGAGTTTGAAGCGGTTTGTCCCGTGTCTCGCAGCCCTAAAGCGACGTGCTGAGGGCAGGGTCTGGTATTCCCCACAAGTGTGTCTGCTCGTAGATCAGCTGGAGGGAGGGAACTTCAACTCCTATCGTTTGTTATTACTGTATTTTGTGTGAGCAGTATGTTGATTATGCTGGAGAAAACGGCATTTGGTACTTTTATATTATGGCCACACAAAAATGAAAACAGGAGACTTACCACACTGATGACAGCACGGAGCAAAAAGCATCTGGAAGTCATGTTCACAGTACTTTCTTCCTTCAAACTGTCAATACGGAAACACACACTTCAATAATGCTGCATAAATAATGAAAACATCTCGGGTATAAACATTGTTCGAGGTTTGTCATTATTATCGATGAACTAGTGCAGAATAGAAACGTTTGATGTAAAAATCAATTTGACAAGAGACATTTTGTCCCTGGAGTTTGCTGTGGAGTTACTTAGCCTTGTGAACAAACAGCTTACTGGATTTGGCCTGTGCAAAACTCAATACATGTGGTATTGAGTTTTGCACAGGCCAAACATGACGGGTTTTTTAAAAAAAAATAGTGGATATCAAAATTGCATGACAATGTCAATTTGAAAGAGATTCCGGCAAAAAAAATCCTATATTTTATAAAAAGAACGTGTTTTTCATGAATTTAAGTTGTCTATGCTCTAACCTGTGTGTGACGTCACAGCGGGTAACGCCCATGCATTGAAAACCATTGATCTATGCCACAGGACTGCCTTTTCTCTCTTCTCTCCACTGATGCCCAACACAATACTGCCCTCTACAGGTGACAATTGCTCACTACACATAAATTGCCGTTTTGAATGTGAAAAAGTGCCCGATGTGGGATTTTAACCCAAGTATCTGGATTGGCAGTCCATCGACACAACCACTGGACTATCTCAGTGACAACGAAATGATACATTCTAGTAGTTATCTTAGACTCGCTGTACACGGCCTTGTCATCTTGAATATCCGCGAAAAAAGAACGAATACCAAATTGTAAACAACTTACAGCGTTGAAACGTACCCGTTCTGACGTCACCAAGGGCTGTGAAGTTTTTTCGTTTCTAAGGGCGTTGCTATGGGGTTATTTCGATTTGGGGGGATCAGACAAAAAAAACAACAACTGATTTTGAAACCTTTAGTAGTAGTAGTAGTAGAAGTAGTCATCTTCTAATATAAAATGGTATTAAAACTGTATTTCTAAATAAATCAAACCCGTCATAAGGTCTTTAAAGCCTTTTGTAGTAAAGGGGAAAACACAATTGTTTTGGCAAAATATTGTCAAATTAAATGTAAAAACGCATCTTCTGAACATAAACAATATTAATTATCTAATCAGATAATAAACAACCTGTATGAAGTCTAATAAAGAGGACCTTTCCAACCTCTTTCCATTCTAGAGCAGTACTATTGAGTGGGAACATTTAGAGTTTAAAGTATATGTCAGTATTTGTCAGTACCTCATAGAAGAGTCCTTCTGGAAACTGCTGGAAGCACTGAGCGCACACAAAGCACTGCTCATGGTACAATTCTCCGTTGCTGTTGACGATCTTCTCGGCCGGAGCGAAGCCGCTCTTACAGCGCTCACAGATGGCGTTGGCCAGAGCGTTGGCCATGTTCCTGCAAAAACACAGTCAAATGTTCAATAACAATGGATTACAGTTGCTACATATGACTGTCACACATCTAAAACCATACGACAAAAAGCTATGTTTTTTCCGTCTTTTAAATAGATGACCCATGATTGGTCCAAAAACAGAATTTTCTCTTTGGGGATTGCAGATAAAGGTATTACGTTTATAGGCCAAGACACACCTTAGACCAATATTTGAAAATCCTATTAAAAGTTGATCATCTCATCGAAACAGCTGCAGATAAATCTACCTCTGGAAGAATAATGTTGCCGACCCTTTAGTTTCCAGAGATGTTTTATCTGGCTTTGACTCTTGGGTGTGGAGGGTCAGAAAAGCAGAAAGTTTAGACAATTTTGTACAAATCATCACAATCTGAAGGTTTATCTGAAAAACACCAGATGTGTACAAACTGCACGAACAAGAATAACCAGCTAATGTTTACCCAGTGTTTGCAATTAATCAGATCACACAAAAATGTAGATCTGGTGTATTTGCAAATCTGAATCAACAAGACATAGTTTCCATACTGAAAAACCTGCATAAACTATGAAGAAAATAAAGGAACCAACATTTGAAAGCATGAATTTAACCAAACAAAAATAAATGTGCTAATATTCGATCCTCTATAATTAATGTACAATAAATAAATACAATAAATAATGATTCCCAAAATATATTATTGTATCCATCAGTTACTGAGGCCAAAGTTTGCAGCCATTAACTGTAAACATCGACAAACATTGCAACCAAACAGATGTTAAGTTTTGTGAAAGAGCTGTGTAAATGTTTTCGTCTTTCGCTTTGCCTGTAAAAGGTCGCAACGTCTCCGTCTCTCAGCAACACAGACAAACGGCACCAGACTGAAAGAGACCATCTGTGCGCTTACCTCACAGCCAAAACCAACACTCCATCACTGCTGCAACTCTGCCAGCCGAGCAACCAACATAAAGATACGGATTTAACCCTTTCAACTATGGATTTTCCCGAATTTTAGGAAAAAACCGAAAGAACAAAACTCTCTGGTCTTATTTGACGAGCACGTGTCACCAGAATGATTGACAATTAAGAGGACCAATAGTCTTGATGATCAACCCGGAAGTAGAAAATCCTTCTCTATACCTTTGAAAAATAATTTAATAATCCATTGAATGTTCCAAGAGCAGTACAGCTTCTGGGGATCTCCCGAGGTTGATGCTGGGCTTGGTCAGAACTACCAGAGCTGGAGGATTTATAGTGGCATTTCTGATTCTTTAGTTTCCTTTTCTTAAAATGTAAAATGTCCTTAAAATTGTATTGTATCTTCAGTTATTCCGCAAAAAGCACCTCACTATGTGTAAAAATTGTGCTCAACAAAAAAGTTCCCTTGCCTTGCTCTGGCTTGAGGAGACAGTTTCTTAAAAAATATTTCAAGACATTTTAATTTCCTTCTGTTTTAATTATAGAATTATCCGAGTCATAAAACCTCTTCTCCTTTGGTTTATGCAGTGAATAAATCAATGTCATTTCTTCTTTTTTGATTACAGAACTCCACCAAATGATTGAGATGCAGGTTGATGATAAAAGTGCCAAAAGCAAAGTGATAGAGATGCCCCAATGAGGTAGATTTAGTGATTTAAAAATTATCGTCCAAATGGTTGGGGAAACCATTAAAGGGTTAAGTCTAAAAAGGTAAAAAAAGAAGATTAATCAATAGCTAAATTAGTAGACAACTATTTCAAAAATGGATAAGCTGCAATGAATCAATGAACTTGTTGCAGCCCTAAACCAGTTGCAAACACTATGGGCTTCTTCTCTTCTTTGCGAACACCACTTTTGTTCATAACTAAAGCCAGACAACCACATTCTATAGGCAATAAACTGTACAACAATTGTTCTTTATAACAAATCCAATAATTGATGCTAAACGTCTAGACTGCGATCACGCGGCAGCATTGGCCCGTCCCGCGGAGCTCGGTCTAGGAAGTGATACATAGGTGAGGCATTTCCATGATTCTATCTGCTCTTAGCGCCCAGTCAATTACACAATAGCCCAAATTAAAGTCCATAGGAAACTCTACCTCTGGAGAAAAAAACACATTCTTGGAGCAGGAAGGTGGCACTGATAAGCGAAAAACCAAGAGGAAAAATTTTGAGATAAAATGTTCCTGTAATTTTCACGTTTCAGGCTTACATTAAAAGCCCAAAAGAACGCATTACAGCTTGATCAAAACTTAACAATGACAGCATCATTCTCTATTTGTTTATTTAATATTATGATGTTGGCAACAATTGCAAAGTATATCGTGCAATCTCTCCTTAGATTCAAGATTCAGTTCGTTTGACATTTGCAGTAAAACCACATTGGAATACCTGTGCAAGAGTGCAACAGTGTGCACCAGACACATCTCGCCGCAAGTTTTTCATGTTTACATTTTGGTTCACTGTTTTGTATTTTTTTCAGCCATGTCAGAACATACAAACTAAAATAAAGAAATGTGAATGGTTTCATACAAGTTTTTGATTATTGTTAGACTACATGAAGTAAAGTATGTGTTGGATAGGACTTTATAGGAATGGACTCTCTAATAGTTATCAGAGGAGAGTGATATAGCAGCACTAAGGTCTTTGTGACCCTGCTCCATGTCCCCTGGTCCTGTGATGATGCCGCGTCACATCAGTCCAAAATACAGCGGTATATTTAGCGCTCCTGTGCCTCCTGTTCACATAACACACATTCCACCGGACATATTCTACTTTGCATAAAACAACTCCCCCTTTGGCTCCAAAATAACTTTTACTGTCGGCCTCCTGCTGGGGGGCAGAGCACGAACACATGACCGCAAGTGTCAAACGTGTCAAGCAAGGATTTACAAACAATATGGGCTGAGACGGAGTAGGGTTATGCAACAACGGAACAATATGCAACACTTTATCTATTGTAGAAGCTAAAATGATTATATGGTTATTACTAACAATCATAAATAATCAGATGTTTACAGCAACGTAACCAAGTACAAATAAAAAAAAAAAAACAAAAAAATAGTTCAAAAACGCCTGGACAGAGACAATACACTCCATACTGGCATGTATTTGTATAATCGTTGGAAAGTAAAGATAATTTTTTACCTGTATTGTCACGTTGTCATTATTCTCAAATCAAAAGCTGTATTTTACTATAGTGTTATGTTAAAGTAACTAGCCGCATTCATTGACTTGGTGAAATACGCTCACATTTATGAACAGATGGCAAGGCAAGGCAAGTTTATTTATATAGCACAATTCATACACAAGTGTAACCCAGGGTTAAATTTCAATCCATCCCTGGTTTTCCCCTTCTCTAGCAATTAGCCAGAGCATAGCACCTGTCCCAGAACACACACACACACACACACCTGATTTCATAATCAGTACAGTTTAAAAGCTGCTATCACTTCTCACACTCGAGTGTGAGGAGTGAGGAGTAAGGAGACAGCAGCTGCTAGGTCAGTCTTTGAATCACTTTAAACTTTTTCATCTTTATACATTCAACAAACTTACCAGTTGCATTATTTTAATTCACAGACTAAACATGTGTGTGTGTGACAGTAATTTTCCGGTGTGTGTGCTCACGATAATCTGGACTGGTGAGTGTACCACAGATTATTATGTACTGTAATGGTAAATTAGCATGCTGATATGCTAGTTTGTGGTTTTTATGTGTGATGTCCAACATCCATGTGATTTTGACTGTGATTTGTTTAGCTTAGCATAAGCTCCTGTTGATTTGTATATGGTACCATTGATTTATATTTGACTTTGTGCACATGACTGAGAGGCCTTGTTTGTTTATACAGGCCAGGTTTCCCATTGCTGGGGACCTAATTGATGGCGAGCTAGAGAGCCTGGAACTGTCTTCCTGTGTGTTGGTCGACTCCTAGTGGGTGGGAGGCTAAGCAGCCTGTCTCCTTTTCTTTTTCCTTTTCCCCTCCTTCCGTTGTGAGGATTGACACCACTCCACATATCCCGATACTCAATAAAATCGCGCTTGGACATAAACCACCTCAACCATAGCTTCCTAAGGACATTTGTGGTGCTCAAACCAAACAGTTATTGTCCATTACTGAACTTTTGGACTAACACCCTGGATTATTGAACTTTGATTCATTTCTTTTGCTTTTACCGGTATTCATTGTAAATATTTGTTCATTGGTTTCACTTTTGTTTGTATAATACACTTTACATCAACTTACCTTTTTGTACTGTCATTTACTGAGCCTATCCTCCAGCAGCCGACCCTAGACTCTTCTGATCAATAACCCAATACTATTACACTTATCTAATTTATTACCTTTTAATAACAAAGCAGTTGTTACATAATTTGGCAAGCTAGCCAGGAGGATAGTGACACAGTAAATACTTTTCTCATACTCACCCAGTTCAAGTTATCTGTAATGGAAGTTTTTGATAATCTCGGTATTATCATACCCCATGCCGTTATAGTCACTGGTACGACTAACCAGTTATTACGCGATGAAGTAATTGCTTTTCTTGAGAAATGCGGTGACATTAATCAAGATGTCAGAATTGATAGTGTTGACTCCGATTTCCACGAACGCGTTGTTGTTGAGTTTACTACCGCGTCTGCGTTGACAAAGTTACCTTCGTTACCGTATACTTATTGTTCAGACTTAGGACATAAATGTTACGTTGCACGCTTGTCCGATGTTTACGCATCCAGAATTTGTGGTTTGAAGACAAACTCTTATCTGGCAGACCTCAAAGCAGTCGCAAAGAAGTCCGGGAAACAATACCCTGAGGTACTAAGAGATATGCTGGTCCAACTCAGTCAGTCCATTGCTGAACTCGAATCCCCTGATACACAAGCCGGTGCCTCAACCACTACATCGACTGCAGATGTTAATATAAAACTTTCTGAGAGTCCATCAGCAACAGCCCTTCCTTCCTCGTCTGCAGCTAACGCTTTTACAGAAGGAATCCAGGAGAGGCGGTCCACGATCCATATGACGC